GGCACCAGGAGGCATGAAACAGTTGCCCAGGAGGAGAGGAAGGTAGAACAGCACTTCAGGCAGAGGGAGTGTTATGTGCAAAAGCAAGGAGGTGTGAGAGTGTCCCTTGATAATCAGACATTTATCGAGCACCGTCTCATGCATTTGAGTGTTTGTGCAGCCAGATATTCATTTATTCATTTGTTTATTTACCAAATAGTTACCAAGAACTTGACACTAGGGCCACTGGGATGGAAAAAAACAGCACTGTCCCTGCCTCAGAGCGCGCGATCTGCTGGGAGACTACAGGACAACAGTGAAGTTCTTGACGAGGGCACATGGGCGCTGAAGGAGCCTGAGGAAGCTGTGATGGAAGACATGTGGGCACTGTGGAAACCCTGAGGACGGGTCTGGCCGGGACTGGGCCTTCTTGATCAGCACTTTTTTTTTCACTCACCAGTATTTGGTACCTGGTCTTCAGAGGCCCTTATTGCTGGGAAGGCCCTAAGTGGTCCAGGTCTCCATCCTCTGTTGTATAGACAGTGAGGCTGAGGCCCTAGGCCTGAAACTCAAGTCTCCAGGAATCCTGTTTCAAGAGTGTAGTTGTATTGGGTAAAGCAAGGACTGTGGGTAGCCAGACCCAACCCTGGACTATATGGGACTCAGGCCTCTCTGCACAGCACCTCCTGCAGCCCAGAGGTGGAATTGCAGGCCCGGGACAGCTTTGGGGGCAAAGCCAGACCTAGATGGGCTCCCTCAGAGTGGGCCTGGGTCTTTCTCAGGCAGACAGGAGCAACTGGGGACCTCAGGCATTTCATTGAGCCCCAGTTTACCACCACAGAATGGCACCGTGATTCCTGGCCTGCCTGACACTGGTGGTTGTGAAGATGGGAAGCTCTCCAGGAGGCCTTTCTGCTGAGGGGACACAGGGCTTCCCACCAGCACGGCAGCAGAGCTGATGGCTGGCTTCCCCTCCTCCTCAATGGCTTTTGAGCCATCCGTCACTTACAAATTCTCTTCATTTCTAACTAAAATGATCTGTTAATTTGAGTGAGTGATCGCCACTCGGCCGAGCCTCTTTGCAGGCCCAGGAACAGCTTGTGGGCTCCCGGAGCCCGGCGCCGCCAGCCTGGCGCTGACTTGGAGGGGTTGTTTTCGATTTAAATGTGAATTGAATGAGGAGAAAAATGTTTCTCTTGGCAATTCCATAGGAGCTCACTTTTCTGACAGATGTTGCAGTTTATTATCCCATCGGGCCAGCATTTTGTTGAGCAGAATTGCTAATTATTTCACAGGCCCTGGCCATAGCCGAAGAGGGGAGGGTGGTGGCGGGCGTGGCTTTGGGTAGCATCTGTCGACAGGCGGGCGCTGGGATGATAGGTCNCCAAGAAAGACCCTGAGTGCTGCCAGCTGGGAGGGGAGCCCATGGACTGGTCAAGGACAAAAGGAGGCTTCCAGAGGAGGTGACCGAGTCTGACAGGGCTGACTGAGCTGGTAGGGAGCACGTTCCAGGCAGAAAGAGTGGATAACAGAGGAAGACACAGAGGTGGGCAAGAGCCTCGCGTGCTTAGAGCCATCCAGAGAAACCCAGGGGACCACCTGCTGTGAGTAGCTTCTGGAGGTTGGAGCAGGGGGGCTGCCGAGAACCTGCCCTCCCTGAGTGGGCACAGTTACTATCTCCAATTTCTGCGCAGGAAATTGAGGGCGGGGTGGGGGCGGGAAGACACTAGCTCAAGGCTGTCAGGATCCGAACCCAGGCCAGGGCTCCAAGGCTTCAGGGTCCAGGTTCTGATCCCCATCTGGGGCCCCTCAGGCGTGCTGGTGGGTGGTCCTAGTCCTCCCACCCTCTCATCCTCATGCCTGACACACAGGCAGCCACAGCCTGCCCACCCCACCCCCAAGCCATTCAGCTGCCCAGCCCTTCCTCCACACCACCAGGCCTATGTACTTAGTAGTTTCCACACGTCCAGCGCCCGGGGATGGACTGATTGATCTGTAACACCGAAAAAATAATAATGGCTTGATCGTTACTGAGGATTAAAAGTAATCCTTTCGCTGTGGCTATTGCAACTCCGTTATTCACGAGTCAGCGGGCTGACCCGGGCCTTTGAGCCCGTGGGACGCAATGAGTTCAAGGAGGCTGGGGGCTGGGGCCTCCCTCCCTGGGGCTCCCTCCCCTTGGCTGCTAGGCTAGGGAGCTGGAGGGGCTGCAGCCCCTGTGTTCTTGGGGCATGTGAATCCCAGGGTCAGAGGTGAATCCTGAGAGGATAGGGAAAGGGGGCATGCAGTGATTGCCCAAGGCTCCCTGTTCGAGGCGCAACCCCAGGACTGCTCCATAGGCTTCACCCCCTCTCATCCAGGCCAGGTACTGAGCTTGTGAAATAGGTGCTCAGTTAACAGTAGTGACAAGGGTTGTGAACCATAAGTGTCACACAGTAACGTCCTCTGCAGAAGGGTACTGCAGACTTGTAAATCAGGGGCCTCACCCATCCTGGATGTTTGTGGTTTAGGCAGAAGGGAGGCCTCAGGATGGAAAGGGAGGGGCAGGAGTTGGGCACAGGTGGGCCCCTAAGGCCTCAAGAAAGCTTTGCCTTTTTTTTTTCTTTTTTTTTCTTTTTATTGCGGAACAGCGTGTTTTCCCAGGACCCATCAGCTCCAAGTTAAGTAGTTGTTTCAATCTAGTTGTGGAGGGCGCAGCTCAGTGGCCCATGCGGGGATTGAGCCTGCAACCTTGGTGTTATGAGCACTGCGCTCTAACCAACTGAGCTAACCTGCCGCCACAAGCTTTGCCTTTTATATGCAGAGTCATGGGGAGCTGTTGAGGGTTTAGGGTCAGGGAGCAGCCACATGATCAGATCCACATTTTGAAGGCTCCAGGTGCCATGAGGGGAAGACATGACAAAGGGCAAGAGAGGACACAGGAGCCTGAGGGAGGACAGAGCCTGGGCTGGGGACAACAGTATGTGGCCTGAGTGATATCAACAGTGGGATATAGGGGGCCGCAGTCCCAAGGTGGATGGGCTTATTCCAAGTGGGGATGGCGTGAGCTCCGGTGGGCCTGAGGGTCACCCCAGGAAGGTGTTCAGGAGCTCAGGAGGGGCAAGGATTGAAGGCAAGACAAAAGGAGGTATCTGGGAGTAGAGAGGCCTATGGTCCCTGAAGCTGAATAAGGGGGGTGGGGCCTACCCAAGCAGTAACAGGTGGGCAGAGGACAGAACCTACAGCTAAGACAGGTGGGGTCGCGAGAGAGGGAAGCAGAGGCCAGGAGGGGCTCAGCACTGTGAAATGAAGGGTTTTACTTCAAGAGGGACTGCCCACCCTGCCCCCAGGACTCCCAGCTTCATAGCCCTCCCAGCATTCAGTGCTTTCGGCCTGGCCCAGCAGGAGCAGGGATCGCTCTGGAGAGCCCCTCTAACTGCCAGGGATGGCATCCTGCCCCCAGATAGTGGAGGCCACACCTCTGCAAGGAGTCCCACTGTGCCCACACACTGTTCCATGGTGGGAGGGAGGAAAAGCTGGTGTCCCATGTCCTGACCCCCATTTCCCCCTAATGGGCAGCTGCCAGGCTTTATTAGAACCTCTCCTCTAGGGCCCATGTGCACATCAGGCCTGAACTGATGGATAGGGCTGTGTGTCCTGACCACCAGGAGGCCTTCTGAGTTGGGGCTGGAGGCCTGGAGGCAAACCACTACTGCTCCATCATGGAATGGAGTAGGGCTGGGGTGGGGGACCAGAGCCCCTTTCCCAGAAAGAGCCACTCCGTCCCTCACCGGGCATGGTGGGCTCTGTGGTGCGTGCCTTCAGATCTTGGTCAGAGGCTGGACACGGCAAACGCAGTGGTGAGGGCCAGGCTCAGTGCCCCAATGCAACCCAGACCCACTCTGTGACCTTGGGCAGGCTGCCTGGGTATCCTCATCTGAGGAGGACGTGTCAGGCACGTTGTGAACGGTGACAGGTACACTTGATGTGTCGCCTGGGGGAGGGCTTGGCATACAGTAGGTGACTGGTATGTGGTGACGGTCATCATTATGGTTAACAGGACTTCACTGTATTCAGCTCTGTGGGAGGCCCCAGAGGGCCATCTTCAGGAGCCCTAAGACTTCTTGGAGGGACAGGATCTATGGAGGTGCAAAATAAGAACCTCTGGTCAGCCAGGGCTCAGACGCCGAGAGCAGCTGAGCACCAGCACCTCCTCCAGGAAGCCTTCCTTGACGTCCCACGTTCCCACAGCACTGAGCTTTCTAGAAGCACCTCAGCTATTCCTACTCTGGTTGTTCTGCCTGGTAATGTGTCCGTTTCCCCCTCTGGACTGTGAGATGGCAGGGCTGATGCTGCCATATCTCCACATATCAGCATGGTGTGGTGCCAGGTGTGCCGGCGAACGAGGTGTGGGGTGGACAGACACACAGCTGTGCTCACAGGCACCGGGGCCTCGATGGAGGAGCTGCAGGAACCAGCCCCAAAGGACAAGCAGGCTCGTGTGGACAGAAGGCTGGGAGAACCTACTGGGAAGGAGCTTTCAGAAGCCAGACAGGGACAGTGGTGGTGGGCAGAGGGAGACTGTGGGCCCTGAGCAAGTGGGGGCATCAGCAAGGCACTCTGTCACTTGCGGCAGTTCACCCTTGGCTGGGGAGGGCCTTTGTTTTGGCGCTGGCATGACACTGGTTTGTAGGGGATGGAGAGTGGCAATGGGGCTCAGCTCCAGGACCTGGATCCTGCTATGTCCTGGGGGGCCCCTACCATCCTGTGGGCAGGAGTTGTGGCTGGGCTGAAGTACAGGGAGTCCCATGGAGATGCCACTCAGGTCACTTTCTGCAGGCGTCACCTTTCCTGTGTGAAGCCAGCTGTGGGTGGGGGAAGGGCCCACAGAGCAAGCTGGAGAATGTGTGGGGGGGTCTGGCAGGATGGGAGGAGGGAGTCCCTGAGCCAGCCTGGCCCCAGGGAGTGCTGGGGATGGAGAAGACTTTGGGCTGCGCACGGGCCTTCCTCAGCCTCTAACCTCGCTGTGCTCTGTCCCTCAGAGATTGGCCGATGCCGCAGAGAACTTCCAGAAAGCCCACCGCTGGCAGGACAACATCAAGGTAAGAAACTGCAGTGCCCTCCCCAGCCCCTAGGAGCTACCCACGCTCAGCAAAGGTGGATGTGAATGTGGTGGTGGGGAGGCCGAACAGACCCACTGGAGGGGCACCGTGGATAGAGTTGGGAACCTTTGTTCAATAAACATTTGAGGCTCCTCTTGGTGCTGGGACACAGGGTGCAGATGTAAGCTTGTCATTCTACCCCAGAGGAGCTGTGGAGTCTATGACAGGTGACTCTAAAGTGATGCTCCCCAAAGTGGGTGTCGTCTTGGTGGTTAAGGAGGTGCCCAGACTCCTCAGAGAGCCCTCAGGGCAAAGAAGCCTCTTGACTGCAGTACTCTTCCGACTTCAATACACTGACCTAGAAGAGACGCTGGGAGAAGGGGACCCTACCGCCCTCCCAGGACTTCCCTGAGCAGCAATCTGTCTTCTAGGAGGTCCTCAGGCTGGAATCAGGGACCAGGCTGTCACAACCACAAAAGCTCTCCCCCGACCAGTGGAGCTCAGAGAGAGCTCAGGCGCTGAGGGAGTGGAGGTGTGAGAAGCTGGTAGTGGGACTCTTCTCGAGGGCAGAAGGCTCCAGAATATGGGGAAAGGAAGCCTCACTGACTCCCAGCCTCAAACCCAGGGGGCCCTCACAAATTCAGGCTGGGGCTGGATACACCTGCACCCCTTCTGTCGCATCTCAGGGAACCCCTGGTGCCAAGGAAGAGGGAACCCACAGGGACCAGACCAGTTGGCAGGGCTCCCTGTGACTTGCACAGCTGCTCAGGCCTCTGGGCCATACCTCCTGGTGGTCTCTGTGCTAAACACAAGGACAGGGACCAAGAGCTCCTCCCTGGGACCCATAAGGAGGGTAGGGGTGGGGCGTACAGTAGGTAAGTGTGACTCATCCAGCACTGGACCCGGCCCATCTGGAGGCAGGTGGGATCCTTATCGGGCAGAGTGGCTACACTTACCTGAGGTTACCTGTTGGTGGCAGAGTTTCATGGCCAGGCTGTCAGGTGCCAGGGGGTTCATGCCTATAACCCAGGCCCCCTAAACCTGTTCCTCCTCCCCAGTCCTCATCCCCCCAGACCACCTTGAGCTCTGCCCTGCCTTGCCCACACCATGGCATTCTTCCTTTGCTGCCTGGTGGGTGCTAGGTGCTACCCTCAAGGAGCTCACAAGGATTTGGGGTAATAGATGATTTTTTAGTGGGCACATAAATGAGCTAGTGACTCTCTGGACCACCCCCCACCTCCCCAGGGGCTCGGGACTGCCCTTTTCTCCCTCCCCATTCCAGCATCACTACCCATTAGTGGGCCCCACGTGCCTCCTCAGCCTTTTGATCAAAAATACCCATAGCAGCAGCCTCTTGCACTCACTGGCCACTCCGACCACACCTCCGCCTGCAAATACCCTGCCCGGACAAGGCCGCCACAAGGCCCAGCCCTGAGCCTGCACTCAAGGCCCCAGGATCTGGCCATTTCTGCCTCTTGGCAGCCTCACTTCTCCCGTCCTCCTCCTGTGCTCCAGCCACACTGAGCACCTCACTCCAGGCCCTTTCCTGATCTCTCCACCCAAATGCTCTCTATTCCTCCTGGAGGCCCCGCTTGACTGTCCCTTCCCAGGGAAGCTGTTCCCACCCCCCAGCCCATCAGCCCCTCCTCCTTCGGGAAGCCAGCACCCTCGGCAACTGCTCTGGTCCTTCCTTTGTTCCTGACATACCTACTGCCTCCCCTCCCCACCCAGGACAGGTGTTCAGAGCAGGCACAGGAGAGCAAGTGAAGGAATCAGGGCATACAGAATGAGAAGACCCGCCTACAGTCTGGCTTTCTCTTCCTCACTGTAAAAAAAACACAAGATTTCCCAGAGTCATCCTGCTGGGCCCCTGACCTCTGGTTTTCAGCTACTCTCTGAGGCAGGAACAGCTTATCCCAGGCCATAGTGGGTTCTACAGGGGTCTGCCAGGAAGGAGGGCCAAGGTCCTAGGGGCAGCCAGGGGTGCTGAGACAGGTGCTTCTTGAGGACCCCCTCCGTGCACACTGGGTCACAGTTCCTGTGCGATCCAACAAGGGCTTGGCCCTCTCTGGGGTTCAGTTTCCCCATTTGGCAAAGGATTGGCAGGTGTTGACACTGCCTGTCGCTCAGACATGATATGTAAAAGGGTCAGTCCGCACGTCAGGCCATATAGGTGCCAAGTCAGTGATGGTGCGTCTCTGGCCATGCCAGCCCATGAGCCTGGGCGCTCTGTCCTGAGATGAGGCAGAAGTAGGCTGTGGCTGGTCCCCTCCCCCAAGCTTGACCTGCGATGCCCCCCAGGTGTGACCCAGCCTTATTTGCCCAATGCTCGCCATGTCCCCCAGTCCATCAGCCTGCCTGTATGTCCCACCGGTCTCTTGGGCATGCTGGAGCTGTAGACACCCCCTCCTTCTCAGCTGCAGAGGCAGGGCCCAGCTCTTCCCCGCAGAAGCCCTGCAGCTGCCCCAGCTGCCAGGCTGAAAGGCATCAATGCTAATGGTGAGCCCATTAGCCGACCCATCTCCAGCCCTGCCTAGGCTGCCAGGGAGAGCTGGCGGTGACTGCAGGTGGGGACTATCTATGCTGGCGGGTAGGAGGGCAACTTGAGGCTGGGGAAGGGATGGTATTTTTGTCCCGTGCAGCCACACCACTCACTCTTGAAACCATGTCCTTCCCAACAACCTTCAAGAGATGGCAGATAAGGAGCAATGTTCCTCCCTGGCACTCAGGAGGGGTACCCGGCCTGTGCCATAACTCCAGTGTCAAACTCAGGCCCTGTACACAAGCCCCCAGGAATGCCGTGACCTTCCTCCTTTAGAAAGGTAACGCCGCTCCCTCTCCAGTTAACCCCCTAGGGCTCCTCTTTCTGGCGCCAGCCCTCGGATTGGCCCCCACTGCCCACAGCATCCATCTTTGGTGCCTGTATCACAGATGGTTCCCAGTGCTGGATGCCCCAGGCAAGCATCCCAGTGAGCTGGTCTGTCTGTCCTACTTGCAGCTCCTCTAGGACGGAAGCAATTGGGCCTGACTCAGTGCTGCCCGCCACTTGGCTATGTGCTCAGCCAGGTGCCTGGTAGATGAAGTGACCAGGAGCAGCTAGGCCTCGGTCTTCTTACCTCTGTGATAGGGAGGATGGCACCATGGGGCCAGACTGGAATCAAATGCATGATCAGTAAGGTGTGGCCCTCCCTGTCAACAGCACACAGTAGGTCTGCATGCATACCTCTGAGAAACAGACGATGGTACACACACACACACACACACACGCACGCACGCACATGCCCATTGACACCAGCCTGAGGACTTGGATCCTGGAGTAGGCAGCGTCAAAGCTGGGTCAAGAGAGCAAGCGGGCCATGTCTGGTTGTGAAGCCCTGCTGCTCTCCTCCCTAGTCCCAGGTCATGACCTCACACACCTGTAGCGACAGCCCTTGGACACCAGAGAAACCATGGCCCTTGCTAACAGGCATCCCCTCCCATGGCCCCTCCAGACAGGCAGCAAGTGCTCTGGTGCCCATAACACTTAGGGTAGATGAAGAGAGCCCACCTGCCGGACACTGTACCTGGCGCCAGCACCTCACTGTGCCAGCATTATCTGCCATCTAAACCACCACCAGGGAGGAACAGAGCCAGGGCATGGGTGGGGGAGGCAAGAGAGGTCCTTATCCCCAGGGCCTCAGTGCCAACACCAGGACCTGCAGGAGACAAAGCCCTGCCCTGGAAATCTAACCCGCGGGAAGCAGTCCTACCCCAGGGGGTCTGATGGGGGAGACACAGCCCTACCCTGAGGAGTCTGATAGGAGAAGTAGCTCCGCCCAGGAATCTCAAGGGAGGGCTATGAAGGCTGGGCTAGGCCAGGCCAGAGGAGCCGGCTGGACAGAACAGGTGGCCTCCCTGGCCTGAGGTCTGCCCCAGCCATCGGGCCTGCTGCCTGCCTCTCTGCCAAGCCGGCGACAGACGGCTCTCTCAGAAAACAGTCCTCTTGGCTGAGCTAAGCTGGCAGTGAGCCAGGGCAGGAAGGCCAAGCGTCCTCACTGGTGTAGCCGGGTAGCTGGCCTGGGCCCTACACAGAGGCCTGGTGGGCAGGCGACAGTCAGGTCTGGCCAGGCCACTGCAGCCGCCTTCCACGGTGCCAAACTGCTATTCCCCATGCTCACCCCATGCTCGTGTCCTCACCCTGTTCCCCACCCGCCAAGACCCCTAATGCCCTCTCTTGGGCTTTACTCCAGCTAAGGAGTGTATGTGTCATCTATACAGGGGCCATGAGGGCCCCCCAGTCCCACCCCTCATATGTCATCTCTGTACAGAAAGCCACATGGCAGGGGGTAGATGTGTGAATTACAAGGGGTGATTCTCCCACCCCTTCCCAGTTTGAGGAAAATGGCCCCAAGAATACCAAGTAACACAGGGGGGTGTCAGGGGTATGGACCCTGGACCTTAATGATGTCTGTTTCTCCCCAGCCAGGGTCTTTCCCATGTTCAGGCCCCTCCCAGGGCTGTGGAGTTGAAAACATGAGGGTCCCGGCCCGTGCGTAGGGTTGACCCTCCCTCCTGGGGACATCCAGCTCCCTGTCCTCTTAGCACCCTCAGAGGAGGCAGCACCATGATTTTATAAGTTGGAAGTCCTGACCCTGAGGTAAAGTCTCCCTGAGGCTGCAGGATTTAACAGGCACCCTTGCCTCATCGGTGAGATAGGGCGACCCCTGGGGGTCCTCATGGGGCCGCTGGGGTCTGCACTCACTGCTCAGGATTCCAGAGCTCAAGTATTCAGGTCAGGGCTGAGGCCAGGACCCTTTGCCAAGTCCCCTGTGTGTCATTGCTCAGTGGTGCTGCCTCCTTGTCTAACCCAGAGGTAGGCGCTAACGGGGACACTGGGCACTGGGCAGGCCAAAGCAGACCCAGAGGCCTTTCCAGGGACTCTCCCACCCCGACCCCGATATCTCCATCCTGCCACGCCCCCAGCTCCACATCACATCAAGCAAAGCCATCACAGCTGGGCTTGCTATGTGTTTTCACACACGTGACCTTGCCCGTCACCACTGCACGCTAATGCTACTCTTGACCAAGAAAGGGCTGGCTGGCCCTCCAAAGTGGGAGAGGCAGGGAGGAATCCTGCCCACATGCACCCCAGCCCCTAGGGACAAGGACTGCATACACACTCCTGAGCCTCACCCGTGGTGTCCAGGAGGCTGGAGTCCTCCTGAAGGACACGTTCCCCCGTATTCCTGATGCCACCAACACCTGATCCTCTGCTAAAACCATGAAATAGGACAAGGAGAGAAAGGGAGCCATTGGAGCAGCTGGAGGCGTGGCTAAGTGAAGGCCTGGGTGTCCCAGGGACGGAGGTGCATGCAGGACCCACATGACCTATGAGGGAGCCCAGGGCTCCGACCCCCAGCCATGCCCTTCCCTGTCCTTGCGGAAGATTTGCCTAAAAAGTTGGACAGTGAAGCCCCCGTGCTAATCTGCAGTCCTCCCACCACGCTGCCTGTTCTCACTGAGAGCCGTGTTTATAACCCCCTTTTAGATAACAAATCACATTTTCTTTTCTCCAGCGACTGTGTTGAATTGATATTTTTTCCCCTCGGTTTAATGGGTTTGTATGTTCAGGAATGATCTTCATCAACCGAAACTCCTTATTGTGTTTGATGTAATGTCAGCTTTCATTACGCGCTTCGGTCGGAGCCGGCGCAGGGGAAAGGCCGAGCACCCTGGAGCCTGGGCCGTGGCCCCACCCCCACCCGGCCCACTGGGCTCCAGCCTTCCTGGGCTGGTGGGTGGGCAGGTGTGGAGGGGTTGGAGATGGGTCGGGAAAGCGGGCTGAGCCAAGTTTCCAAGGCTCTCTTATCCCTGTCATAGTGTCCTCATCTATATGGCGGGGTCACAGGGCTGTTGGGAGAACCTGGAATTTAACGTGTGCCAACCACTAGATACAGCGGATGCCTCAGATGACTAAAACTATCAGGTGGCCTTTGGTCTCATCAGGAGGTTGTGGCCTTGCCCAAGATGGTGCCAGGCATGTAGTCAATGTTCCAGAATGCTTGCATTATGCCTGTGGGTCCCGCCAGCAGCCTGTACCCCCCAGACCATTGGTGGGAAACAACCCACGACCATTCCCCACAACAAGCCTTAGTTTGATCACCTCAAACCATGGCCTCAGACCCAGCACCTGGGCAGTCGCCAGGGCCAAGCTCCTCCCTGAAGCATGAGGACCCTGAGCTCAGAGAGAACAGTACAGCTCTGAGGTCACACAGCAAATGGAGCCCAGCCAGGCCCAGGCATGGGGCGGCCAAGATGACTTCTGCTCACCATGGAGTAAGTGCTGGCTCTGTGCATGCTGTTCTACAGCCAGACCCTTGGGAGCACACTTGGTCATCACCCCCATTTGCAGACCACAAAGAAACAGGCTCCCAGTGAGCGAGGGACTGCCAGAGCCATGCTGCAGGTTTTGCTGTACAAAACAGGGCTGAGGAGCACCAGGGGAGGGCGACCCCGACAGTGGCATCCCATGTCCTGGCCCTGGGGCCCATCGGGGCCGGAGTGGGGTGGCCCCTCCTGAGTGGGTGGCACTTGATGGCACCAGATTCACCTTCTGGCAGCTTCTGTCAGCCATGCTCAGTTCTGATTAAAGATCATTAAACATGAAATTAGCTCATTTGTGTTACGGGTCCCCCAGGTGGCCAGTGCTTATGACACACAGATGGCCAAGAACCTAGGCGGCGGGCAGGCGGGTGAGGCCAGGGCGGGTGGGGTGAGCACAGGCAGTGAGGGCTGGGAGGCAGGCTCCAGGCTGGGCTTTGTTTTCTCCCAGTCCTGTTGTGTAAACCCCTTGCATTTCACAACAAATCACAGATAATTAATAAGTACATGCCCGTAATGAGCAGGCTTTTTAATAGAAGAAATTGGAAGATGCGGTGTCAAGTCATTATTTCACTCTTGCCCAGACTCGGCTCTGTTTTTCCATCTTCCTCACTCCCCCTGGTTCTGCCTCAGCCAGAATCTCAGCAGATAGGCTGGCTCTGACCCTACGTCTCCGCATGGCTGCAGTGCAGAGACCCTGGTCCTGGAGTCAGTGAGGGCCCCTGAGGACCAGCCCTGGTCTGGTCTTCAGGGACATTCCCACCCTGACTCGTCCTGCCTCCCTGGACGGCAGCTCTGAATGGAGGAATCTGAGGGGGCCATTCCAGGCCTTGGGGCTGGGGGTTCTGGCTGCACCTCAGGAGACCTTGAGCTGTGGTGTTGAGGCCTCTCTCCCCAACCAGGAGGAAGACATCGTGTACTATGATGCCAAGGCTGACGCTGAGCTGGTAAGTGCCCCTACCTACGCTGGGGGGAGGGGCCGCTGCCAGAGCCACGTGCTTTCTCTGAGCTCATGGCCTCAGCTGGAAAATGAGTGTTGGGACTTAGTGCCCTTTGGGATCCTGAGCTCGAGCCCGCAGGGTTGTGTTGGCACAGAACCCCACCCTACATCCCCCACAAACCCCTAGAGGCCCAGACACCTCCAAGGCTGTGTCTCTGTGGCACCAAGGGGCACAGCTTCACTGCACAGTGTGGGGCAGGCCCAGACCCGGCCGTGGGCAGGGCAGTGAGGCGCTCGGACCTCCTCCCATAGGTCAGCTCAGGTGCCAGCGTCAAGAGGGGTGCTGAGTCCTAGGAGAGCAGGGAACAGAGGGAGCAGTTGGAGAGGGCTTTCTGGAAGTGGCAGGCAGGCCAGGATACAGGATGCAATGCCATCCATGTGTTTTTCAGATCAGCGCAGGCACCCTCCCCTATGGGGAGGGGAACAGCAGCTCAGTGGGCTGAGCACCCCACAGCCTGGCCCCACAGTCAGTGCTTGGCCCTGTGCTCAGTCAGTCTCGTCCCAGCTGCAGAGAAAGCCCAGGTCCCGTGCCTGCCTGTTCTTTTGGTGACGGAGACCATTTGGGTGGGATGGGGCCTACAGAGGAGACCAGGGTGTCGAGGGGCAGAGCCCGTGGAGTGGACAGTGTTTGGAGAGCTTGTCAAGGCCCAAGTCAATCTGCCTGCCTTTGAGGCAATAGTTGAACCCAATTGTCTTCTCTGAAAACAGAGGTGTCACAATAGCTCAGTCTCTGGGTTCCCACCTGTGCTGGCTGTTGCAAGAGACCCAAAATCCAGTCTTCCTTTCCTTATTGGCCTGGGGGGGGGGGGTTCCTGAGAGGAGGAGCCGGCGTGCCCAATGACACCAGCAGGTGGGCAGGCTGGAAGGGATCCCTGCAGAGGGTCCGCGGTGCCAGGCTGGCCTGGAGGGAACCTCCGGGAGGGCAGGCGGGCAGGGGGCCTGAGAAGGAGGGCTGGGTGGGCTACAGCAGGTGTGCTTTCCCCTTGGCTGAGCCTCCGTGGCTCCCAGAGAAGTTGCTAAAATTAAAGCTGGAATCTGAAATTCAAATGAAGAGCGAACCTTTAATTAGACCCTGAATCTAATTCCTTACCCCCCTCGGCAGCGGGCTGTAATTTTAGCAATCAGTGCATTAAATATAAACCAGGAGACTGCGATTGCCCACCGTACAAAGCCCTGGGCGTGAGGGTGGCACTGAGGGGCTCCTTGGCCAGTGCGGGGCCCAGCCCCCTGCCAGGGCTGTGAACTCCCAGCTCCCAGCGGCCCCCAATAGATCCAGGACCCTCAGCCCCTTGGATAGCTGCTGGGGGTCTAGGGCAGCCCAAGGGGAAAGATTACCCTTGGTGGGGCTGGGCTGGGGTCAGGTAATCCAAAAACTCGGCCCGGCCCGGCCCTGGTATAAATTCTGCACATACACATTTGCCGACACCCCTGCTTGTTGTGTTGTTTTGTTTTTTTAATCTTTGCCAGAGGTACAGTTAGAGATCTTTCTAGACCATTTACTTTTAAATTACCAGCCAGAAGGTGGGGGTGGGGGAAAGAGAAGGAAGGAAAAAAGTTCGCCAGCTGATAGCTTATCAGAACGGAATCCAAATGTCACATTAGTTGGGAAAGTTGGGAGATTAAATTTTCCAGCGCCCTTCATCTGCCGCTGACATTTCAGGGGCTTTCTTCTCCCGAGTCTACCCCTCCTCCTCGCAGAACGTGAGTGGCTCATGCCTCAGAGGCGGCAGCTCCCCGCTCTGGCCTCTGCTGGGCAGCTGCTGCCTGGCTTTACCCAGCACCCAGGAGCATCTGAGGGTCCTCCTAGGGTGTGCCGAAGTGGGCGGAGGGGCACGCTGGGGGCACAATAGGAGGGCAGCACGTGTCTTGGCTTGTGCTGCACAAAACAACCCTTGAAGAAATGAAAAGGGATTTGCTGCAGGCCCTTCAGAGCCGTGCCAGCACCCACACAGGCCAGCCACTGCACCCCCTGTCCAGGAGCACTCCGAGGGTGGGGAGAGCACATCTAGCCGGGTGGGGACACCTTTTCCCCAGACAAGACACGGCCTGGACAAAAGCCTGGAGACAGGAGCCGAGGGATGTGCCCAGGACCCAGTGAGCGGTGGGGTCAGCTGTCGCTGTGCGATCCACCACGGAGAGGACAGGAGCTGAGACTGGTGCCAAGTGTGGTCACAGGGCTCTTGCGGGGCCGTGAGGGCGCGTGGAGAGCCGCTGAGCTCCTTCCCCCCAGCACACACAGTCCCCCAGCTCTGTCCCCTGCCCTGCCTGCCTTTCCCCTCTCTCAGCTTCACTCCCCACCACCATTTTTCCTTCGCCCTTGCACACCTGCACCTGTGCCTACCCACCCCCATTGGCTGCGGCGTCAACACTGTCATCGCCGACCCACTCCTGCCAGCCTGTGGTGGTGGGCGGGGGTGCACAGCGCATGCCCAGCCTGCCCGGCCAGAGATGCAGTAATTGGCACCTGTCAGGCGGCTGCAGCTCAGTTTAGAAAGTCAACAGGGGCCTTTACAGTCCTGCTGCCAGCGGGCGCCGCAAACCCTGCTTCCAGAGGTTACTGGGTCCCAGTGCCAGCCCCTACCCCAGCCCAGCTCTCCCGGCTGACTCCCCAGTTCAGCCCATAGAGCCACCCTACTGTAGAGGGTGGTGGCCCTCCCCCAGACGGGGCCAGGGCCCCCTCCCTGTCACCAAAGGAACTCCATGGGGGCGGGAGGGGGGCCCGGTGGGGGCTGTGGGTCTCTGAGCTCCTGGAAAGGGCTGACAGGCCTGTGGTTGCACAAGGCACGTCCCGGAGGCAGAGGTCTGCAGCCCGCTCTTCATGGGCTCCAGGACTTGCCTCCTTTGCTGATAATTCGTTTTCAAGGATGTCAGGAAGGGGTTGGGCTTGGTTTTGGTTTTGGAATTTGAGTTTAGCAAATGTGGGGATGGTGGGTGGGGCGGGTGGGGGAGGTGGAAGCCACAGGCCTCTTGGGTGAGGGGTCCTTCTGTCCCTGTGTCTCCCCACCTCTGTCTCTGCGTGTGACTGCAATAGTCTGATGCCCCTACGGCCTAGACTCTGGCCCTCCCCTGTCCGCAGACATGTCTGACCTCATTCCACCGCTGCTGACCCTGACATTGCCGTGGTGGGGTGTTGCTTTCTGCAGGATGACCCTGAGAGTGAGGATGTGGAGAGGGGCTCCAAGGCCAGCACCCTAAGGCTGGACTTCATTGAGGACCCAAACTTCAAGAACAAGGTCAACTATTCGTACACGGCAGTGCAGATCCCCACGGATATCTACAAAGGCTGTGAGTGTGCCTGTGATCAGCCTTCCCCACCCCCCATGGAGCCAAGGCCCACTGCCCAGGCACTGCCAGGTCCCAGGTGCCCGGCCACCCACCGTCAGCCCCCTACACCCAAGGTCACATGTGCTCACTTCTCAGGCTCGCCCACATGCAGGCATCAAACCACTTGCAGGCACGGCCTCACAGAAGCTACAAAACACAGAGCCTTTCCCCCTGTGCATGGTTACCCCCCATGTGTGCACACACTCCCATGCAAATACATGCACACCAGCGTTCCCCCACATGCTGGGCCGAGGCCGGCCCCAAAGCAGCTCTCCCCTACCCTCCCCCATTCCCTGGCCCCACATAGGAATGGTGGAGGAGCTACCACATCAGACAGACACTGGGGCTGGGAGCAACTGCTCACACAGACACCAACCAACCCTGTAACACCTCCCTCCTGCTCCTTGGCATGGGGGAGTGGGTAGAGGGTGGCTGAGATTCCAAGCTCTACAGACAGGGCAGTTTTGCACATCGGGGAAACCAGGTCACTGCAGCTAGAAGGATTTCAGTCAGACATGAGGAGGAACTTACCGAAGGTCTTGGGAAGTATAAGGGGAGGAGGCCAAGAGTCAGACACTAGATGGGGAGCTCTAGCAGCAGCATTTAAGGCTCAGGGGTCTGTTGATTCTGACATAATTCTGTGGGCACCTACAGGGTAACCTTAGAATCCAGGGGGCCCACCAGGTAGAGGTCTTCGGGCAAAGGTCCCCGAACTTCTGAGTAGTCTCCAGAATCTAGGGCATCCTCCGGGGTCCTCAGGGAGGTCCCCTCCACCCTTAGGGTCAGCAAGGCCTCTGGGCAACCTCAGGTGGGGGTAAGGGTGGATGCCGCCCCACCCCCTTCACAGGCCACCTGCCTGAGCCAGTGGAGGGACGCTATCACAAGCAACCACGCTAATTAAAACAGGAGCCACATCGCCCTCCCTAGTCACCCCTCGCTACCCACACAAATTACATTTTATATGTTTTTTATTTACTGTGTCACTTTTAATTAAATCTGTAATCGCCTGCCTGAGGGGGCATGGTCCCCGTTTCCCAACTCAGCGTGATCTGAGAGTCTGCACGTGGGTGTGGGCGTGTGCGTGGGGGTCTGGGGAGTAGGCCCTTTCCAGGCGGAGGGCTGGAGTGTTTGCACACGTGCTGTCTGGCGGTGAGTACATGTGTGTGTGCGCGTGTGGTCGTGGACACCTGCGGAGACAGCCGAGCCAGGCCAGGAGTCTTCTCTTGGCTCTTGACCTGAGTCGGGAATACCCTGCTGCCAGCAGCTAGATGGGCTTCCAGGATGATCGGATGATCTGCTCTGAGCCTCTCATTGTGCAGATGGGGAAACTGAGGCCCAGCAATGGGACTTGCCGGGCAGACTCTCCTAAGGCAGATAGTACTGTGTGAAACGTTTGCGAGCCTGACTTTATTTTTTTCCTTAAAGAGAAAAATAGAAATTGTTCAACTCACTAAGTTTCTAGATTAGGAACAGGACCATAACGTACTGTTCAATAGGCACAGCCAATGCTAGAAATGTGTTTTGTTTTCACATTATGGTCAGTTAAGGGAAGCGGCAGGGACACAGAGAGGGAAGTGAGAGCAGAGGGGGAGGGATTGGGCAGCAGACAAGATGCAACAGAGACCCCACATTAGAGAGGAAGAAAAAGGAAGGAAGAGTGCCCTTGGCGTCCCGGGCTGTGGGCAGAGCCTGGAGCACGTGTATCTTTAAATCGTAGCTCTTCGTCTGCTCTGAAGGTGTCAGTGCTCACAGCTGCACTCTGAGGAGAGCGGCAGGGCCTTTGAAGACATTCTCTGGTTCTCACTTGGGGTGGATCTTTGACAGGGACCGTGGGGTGAGGGGTGATGGTGTCAGGGCTCCACCTGGGAAGAAAGGAGGTGGAAGAAACTGGAGGAAGAAGTAGCCCTGGGGGGAGGGGGGGACAGAGGCCTGGCAGTAACAGGTGTCCAACTCCCGCTGGGGTTTTTTAGCATCGCACAAGCAGGGACGGGTACACTGCACGTGTGAAAACACATGCCACACACACATCAGCAGATTTAGGGCTGTCCGGAATTGAGTGGCAGGGTTACTGCTCAAGCCATTTGAGTCTGTACCCGGGTGCAGGGAGCTGAAGGCTGGAGTTCATCCATCTGAGAGGAACCTGGCTCTGTGCGTGTGCTCAGGATGGGTCTAGCCAGGTGCAGCCACAGAGGCTGAGGGAAAGGGAGGGTGGGGGTAACTGGCCGTGGGAGGCTGTGAGAGCAGGACCCATTGGCGTTGTCCTGTAGGTGCAGAATGGTGTGTAGGTATGAGGATGTGAGTCCCTGTGCCCATGGCAGCAGTTGGGCTGCTGGGCAGGTAGGTTTGGGGGTGAGGGCATCACACACCTGGCTGGAAACATGGAGGTTAGATGCAGGTATAAATGCAGGCTGTGTGTGTGTGTGTGCGCGCACACGTGCCTGTGTTAGAGCAGGATCATGGCACAGCCCCTGCCCCTCCAAGAACCCCCGCCCCCACCCCTGCCTGCTCCTGGCCCCAGTTGATTAATCATGGAGCTGAGTGGCTTCCAGCTTATCAGGTACCTTAATAGCTGAATAATTCCAGCCCCATCATCGAGCCCTTAATTGCTTTCTTGTGGCTGCAGCCCGGAGTGCATGCTGAGTGGGTGAGCTCTCAGGGGACCTGCCACCAGCTCCAGGCAGCATGCTGGATTGGCACCCCAACTTACACACTCCCTGCCACCTGGGCGGCCCCCCTCCAGGGGCCACAGGTCACAACTGCCCTACCTGATCATGTAGGTCCTGGCTGAAGGGCAGACTCAGCTGTTTCTTTGATGACTGGGGCGGGGGGGGGGGGGACCAGGAAGTCTTCCTGGAGGAGCTGGTGCAGCCCCAGCCGAGCCCTGGGGGAACGAGGAAAAGCCTGGATCGGCGGAGAGCAGGCGAGGCTTTCTAAGTGGGGGGACTCATGCATGGGTGTCATCGTGGTGGGGTTCAGCAGGGGACAGCCCAGATGCTTCCCACCCCAGCCCCGTGCTTCCCCACAGCCACCGTCATCCTCAATGAGCTCAACTGGACGGAGGCCCTGGAGAATGTGTTCACCGAGAACCGCAGGCAGGACCCCACCCTGCTGTGGCAGGTCTTTGGCAGTGCCACGGGAGTCACCCGCTACTACCCAGGTAGGTACCAGCCCGTCTCCCCTTCCACTCAGCACCATGTCCTCCTCCATCTCCCAGCCCGCTCATCCTGGGGCGTGTGGGGTAGGATGGTCACCCCGTAGGCTGCAGAGCGACCTGGCCACTCCAGCAAGGTCTGCCTACCCAGGCCAGGCCCTTCTCTGCCAGCCCCCCTCACATCTTTCCCCCCACAGCTACCCCATGGCGAGCCCCCAAGAAAATCGACCTGTACGACGTCCGAAGGAGACCCTGGTGAGCGAGCAAGGAGGGGCTGGGCAGGGACACCCCCTTGGCTCCGCCACCTCTCCCGCCTGCTCCCCTCCCTCCTGATATCCAGGCCTCTGAGCAGGGCGCAGCCAGCTCTATCCAATTTTCATTTCACACATCGTTGCCACTGGAAAATGGATCCCATCACCCAGGCAGGCCTCCCAGCTGCCTCTGCCCCCGTCCACTGCCCGGCACTCCACCCCTTCGGGACTGAGGGATGGGACCAGTGGAGGTTCCCGAGGGAGAATGCCAGCCCCCATTCCACCCATCTGAGCCCTGGAGACACCCCCACCCTCCGCTCTGCCTCTCCTGCAGTAGCCCATGACCTTCCTTCCTGCCACCTATTCAATCCCATATATAGTTAGACTCTGCCCTTGGGACCTCAACCTGGGCTAGGGGACATGACAGGCCACTGAGGCCAAGGACCATGCCTCCGGTCCCCTCTCCAGATCACCTTCTCACCCCTCCTTAGAGTCATTCACATGCTGGGCGACCGGGTCACTCATGGCAGGGGCAAGGATTGTTGTATTAAATGCGGCATCAGTGCCTAGAACCCTGTCTGGCCCACGTAGGAGATGCTCAATACAATCTGTTGCATCAACATGTGGGTAAAGGAAGGAAGGATCCACAAGGTCCCCATGAGTCTGGCCCTAACTGAGGCTTCTCCTGGACAGGTACATCCAGGGGGCCTCGTCACCCAAAGACATGGTCATCATCGTGGATGTGTGAGTGGGTGATGCCGGCAGGTGGGGTGGGGGCAGGCAAGGGGCTAGAATCTGCTGCCTGGGGACACCCTGGGGGAATAGCCAAAGAACACCTGAGGCCTACCTGGCACCTTTGTGACCTCCACAGGAGTGGCAGCGTGAGTGGCCTCACCCTGAAACTGATGAAGACGTCTGTCTGTGAGATGCTGGACACACTCTCGGACGATGACTATGTGAACGTAGCCTCAGTAGGTGCCAAGGGGGACAGGTGGGCCAGGAATGGGTCGCCCTTACCTGCCCGTATGTCAGCTGCCTGCCCTAGCCAGCTTGAGGCCCCTAACCACCCTTGCCGTCCCTGCAGTTCAACGAGAAGGCGCAGCCTGTGTCGTGCTTCACACACCTGGTGCAGGCCAATGTGCGTAACAAGAAGGTGTTCAAGGAAGCTGTGCAGGGCATGGTGGCCAAGGGCACCACAGGCTACAAGGCCGGCTTCGAGTATGCCTTCGACCAGCTGCAGAATGTGAGCCGCGTGGGTGGGCAAACGGACAGCTGGGGGCGGGCGAGGGCCGGGCCTTCATGACACTGGGAAAGTCGAGACGAATGGCCTTGTTAGCTCCCAACAGGCAGCTCAGGCAGATAGCACCATCTGCTGTGGGGGAGGACGGCCAGAGGGCCAGGCCCCCTGAGGGAGGGAGACCCACCCCAGGGCCAGGAGGGGCCAAGAGCTGCCTGACCCCACACCTGCTCCTGCCCAGTCCAACATCACCCGTGCCAACTGCAATAAAATGATCATGATGTTCACGGACGGCGGCGAGGACCGAGTACAGGACGTCTTTGAGAAGTACAATTGGCCCAATCGGACGGTGAGGCTCAGCCCAGGCAGGTGCTGCCCTGACATGGGCACAGCACAGGGTGGGGGTAGAGGGTGCTGTGCTCTGGCAGCCGCAGCAGTAACCTCAAGCCCCAAATAGGTGCGCGTGTTCACATTCTCTGTGGGGCAGCACAACTATGACGTCACGCCTCTGCAGTGGATGGCCTGCGCCAACAAAGGTACCTCACCTGGGCATCACTGCCGTGCGGCCTGCCTGCCATGCCTTGCTGTCCAATTGGGCTGCTTGTCCACCCGTCCTTGCATATGTCCAGCTTTCCAGCTGCTTGTTCATCCACTGTCCATCTTTCTATACGTGACTGTCCGTCTGTCTGTCTGTCTAACTGTCCATCTGACTGAGCATTTTTCTACCCATCTGTCTGAGTAGCCATGCCCATCTAGCTCCCAGCTTGTCTATTCCTGTGTGTCTGTTTGCTGGGCAGTCTGTCTCTCCATGCATTTGGGCCTGTCCCCTGGGTGAACTCTGAATGTCACCGCCATCCTAGAATGAGGGACATCAGGCCGCAGGCTCCTTTCTTCACCCCAGCTCTGCTTCCTTATCCCTCTCCCCTCACAGCCCCTTCCGTAGCATCATTCCCACTGACAGGGCAATGGCAGGGAGCACTAACGGGACCTGACTCAAGGAGAGTGACACCAAAAAGAGAGGGAGCCTCAGGAAATAGGGCTGCAGACATACCCCCGGGTCCAGGGTCCAGCACCACCCAGGCCCGCCTCTGCCTCCCCTTCCCTCACAGGTTACTATTTTGAGATCCCTTCCATCGGTGCCATCCGCATCAACACACAGGTGAGACTGTGGGGGGGCCCCTCCTCTAGCCCCTTGCCTCCGCGGGGACAGCGCCTTGATGGGCTGCTGTGGGGTGAGAGCGCCCCCTGGTGGCATGCTGGCACATGGGGAAGCCGAACAGGGAAAGGACACAGGAAGGGACAGACTCATGACCCCTGCCCACCGTCCCCTCCAGGAATACCTAGACGTATTGGGCAGGCCCATGGTGCTGGCAGGCAAGGAGGCCAAGCAGGTGCAGTGGACTAACGTGTATGAGGATGCGCTGGTAAGGCCTCTGGGCAAGGAAGGGGAGGGGCTGGCGACCTTCCCCATGGATGTGCCCACAGGGTCAAGTCCTTTGAGGGGTCGCTTATGGGGCTAACCCAAACAGGGGAGCAAGAAAAGTGGCCTGCATCTAAGCCTCTGCAATGAACGCTTGGAGTGGGGGCATGGCTGGCACAGGAGACTAACCCATCATCTTCCTCTACCTTCAGGGGCTGGGGTTGGTGGTGACAGGGACCCTCCCAGTATTCAACCTGACACAGGATGGCCCTGGGGAAAAGAAGGTGAGGTCCGCCACTGGGGAAGGGGGAGGCAGGCCTGGGGAGGGTTGGGCATGCCCATAGCTGGGCTGGGATGGAAGACGGATAGATGGGCCTGCAAACTGGACAGGGGCAGCTGCTTGTGAGAGCAGCTTGAGGCCTCAGGTATGGGGTGGGCAGGGAGCTCACCATGGAATTGAGCCCATTGCAGACCTCCTGCCTCTGCTCCCAGAACCAGCTGATCCTGGGAGTGATGGGCATCGATGTGGCTCTGAATGATATCAAGAGGCTGACTCCCAACTACACGGTGAGTGTCCACCTGCACGTCCTCCCTGCTCTCCCTCCCGCAGGGACACAGCCAGGCTCAGCAGAGGAGACTGATGGCGACTACAGCGCCTACCGTGGAAACCTCTGAGTTCAGGCAGTCAGGGAAGGCTTCCCGAGGAGGTGACCTTGGGCCTAGAGCTGGGGTCGTCTAATTTTCTGTAAAGGGCTAGATTATGACTATTTGAGGCCCTGCCAGCCGAAATGCTCATATTCAGCTCTGCTGTTGTATTGGGAAAACGGCCACAGACAAAACAAACAAATGGGCATGGATGTGTCCCAACACAATTTTGTTTGTGGATACTGAAATTTGAATTTTGAATAATTTTCATGTCATGAAATATAATTCTTCTTTTAATCTTTTTCAAGCATTTAAATGTGTACAGACCTTAAATATGTACAGACCATTCTTAGCTCATAGCGGTACAGTAACAGGTGGCAGGCCAGGTGTGGCCCATGGTCCTTAGCCAACCCCGGACTGTCGCATAGACAGAAGTGTTCTAGGTAGAAAGGAGGGGAAGGCACACCCGGGAGGCAAAGGGAACTCTCGAGCAAAGTCCTGAAGGTGAAAACCAGGATCATAAGCCGGGGCGGGGGAGGGGCAAGATCAGTGTGGCTGGCCCAGGGCCTGTAGCAAAGGGAATTTGGGTCTTGGTTGTGAAGTGGAGGGACGGACAAGATGTGTGTAACCACATGCTGAAACCTGAGCTATATGAAGGCGCCATGTCGTTGGCCTCCATGTGCAGTGAGAACACTGCCAAGTGCTAAGGGCGGGTGCGTGGTCTCACTCCTTCCCTTCCACCTGAAAGGGGCTCCCCAGGCCTATGGGATTCCAGGGTACTCGGCTCCCACTGAACTCTGCTGACATGGGGACCAGGAGGAGGCCGTCGTGGGGAGGGGGGAGGGGAGCAGCCGCAGCCTGTGGGGCCAGCACAGGTAGAGAGCCTGGCTGACAGCGCCATGAGAACCAGGGGTGGGAGGAGAGCTACAGAAGGCCAGGTGACTCATGGCCCCATGGAGCTGGTCAGCATAAAGGGCACCAGCCTGCTGGGCGTGGCTTGAGGAACAGGCTTGGCGCCAAGTGGTAGTGGGGGCCTGGCCCAGGCAGGCAGTTGGCACCCCCTCAGCGGCTTGGAAGGCAGGACAGGGAAGAACTCCGGAGCCCGGAGAACCCCTGCCCAGCCCTCCAGGCCCTGAGCCCCCAATCTATACCCCCAGCTTGGAGCCAACGGCTACGTGTTTGCCATTGACCTGAATGGCTACGTGTTGCTGCACCCCAACCTCAAGCCCCAGGTAAGCCAGGTAGGTGGCCTGGAGGCGGGTAAACTCTACGAGATGGGGACTCCTGACTTCCTGCCCTGCCTCATGCAGACCACCAACTTCCGGGAGCCTGTGACTCTGGACTTCCTAGATGCAGAGCTAGAGGATGAGAACAAGGAAGAGGTGAAGAAGGGAACAGGGATGGGGGATGCCCAGAACCAAGGAGGGCAGGAGCCCCGCTTCTCACACTTCTGGCCCTTCCAGATCCGTCGGAGCATGATCGACGGCAACAAGGGCCACAAGCAGATCAGAACACTGGTCAAGTCCCTGGACGAGGTGAGGGGCAGGAGGGGCAGGGAGCCAGGGTAGGCCTCCTCCTCCCCCCGACCCCACGCTTGCCTGCCAGCCCAAGTACCTGACCCCGCCTCTTCCCCCAGAGGTACATAGACGAGGTGATGCGCAACTACACCTGGGTGCCTATAAGGAGCACCAACTACAGGTGAGTGGGGCCAAGGCCGGGCGGGCAAGGGGAGGTGGCCCCCGAGCCCAGAGCCAGAGCCCAGCTGCCCCCTCCTCCCCTCCACCCCATTGTGCCAAATCCCAGTGGGGCACCAGCAAGCAGGGCTGCTCATTTCTCACCCCATGACGCTTAGTCTCCAAGGGCCTCTAACTGGCCCTTCAGGAACAAGCATTATCTCCTGGGAGCACAGGACAGACACAAGACGGTGCATCTAATGGCTCCCTGTGGCCCGCCACCCTCCCACCTCCCTCCTGCCTGGGCTGTATCCCTGGGTTGTCTGCACCCAGGATGTCATCCTCAACCCACTCACAGGCCTTTCACCAGGCAGCACAGCCTGGGAGCAGGTCCCCTGTGGGTCAGGCCCAGGCAGTGCAGGCGGTCACATCCACACCCCGGTACCAGCCCCTGCTGCCCCTCACTGTTAGGGCCAGCTCTGCTTTCAGCTGTCTCTGGGGACGGTGGACCCCACTCCCACAGCAGCACCCGCCCCAGCCTAGCTCGCTGACAGTGTTCTGCTCCTTGTGAGTTTGCTGCTGGCCAGATGGAGGAGTCTGGCTGGGCAGGTGGTGTGTTGGGGAAGGCTGTTGCGGGTGAGGGGTGGGGTGGAGATTTGCGTTGGGGCTAGGAGTTCCGAAGCCTCCAGGAGAATTTGGGGAGTGGAGGGTCCAGGCTCCTAGGCCATGAATCCCCGACCGCTAACCAGGGAAAGGTGTCCCTGGTGGTCAGGGAACGGGAGGCCGCAGCCTGGGCCTCTCTACCCAGCTCCAAGGCCGTGGGGAGGGGGTGCCAGTGTGGCCCGCCTCTCCCGGGCAGTGACCCACGTCCTTCCCCTGCCCTCCTCCCAGCCTAGGGCTCGTGCTCCCTCCCTACAGCACCTTCTACCTCCAAGCCAACCTCAGCGACCAGATCCTGCAGGTCAAGTGTAAGTGGCTGACCCCTGCCTGCGCCCTGCACCCCTGCCTCTGCCCCGCACCCTGGCCGGCCCCGGGCAGCACAGCCAGCCGCTTGCAGCCAGGTGGCCCCTCCTGCCCAGTCTGCCCACCCCCCCAGGCACCCGCAGGCTGGGGCACCAGCCCAGAAAATCTATGAAAATCTGCATGCTCGCCTTTTCTCAGATTTGGTTCCAGACCATTCTCTCATGGTTTCCGTTGAGGTTCTGTTTTTGGTTTCTCCTACTCCGTGTCTTCCCTCCTTAGCCTGCCTCCCTGAACACCTCTGAGGGCTGCATTCCCAGAAGACACCCCTCCTCTCATCTCTCCTTTCCCTTCTCCCTGCAGCTCTCTCTCACTGTGGTGTCACCCTCCAGGGTCTCTCTCTCTACCTTCTGCCCCCTTTGCTGTTCCCACAACTCATCCTCAGTCACCTTCCTCCTCACCTCAGCCCTCATCTTCTGCCTCTCTCACCGCCCTCCCAGCCCCATTCTTTCCCTTACTCTCTGCCTTTCCTTCTCCCTCTCTCTCTCCCTTCCTTCCTCCTGTTCTTCCCTCCCTTCCTCTTTCTCTTTCCCCTGCTTGCACCCCCACCTTCTATATCTCCCTCCCTCTCTTCCACTCGTTTCTGCTCATTCTCTCCATTTCTCGCTCCCACATTCCCACCCTCCCCCTCTCCCTACCCAGCACCCCTCCCTTCTCTCTCTTCTTTCAGGCTCTCTCCCATCCTGTCTTCCTCCTTCTCAGCCCTGCTCCCTTACTCCCGTCTGTCCCCCCTTCCTCTCCTCCCTGTCCCCTCTTCTGCCTGTGGCTCGTCCCTGCATGTCCTGCTCACCCTGGGCCTCCCCCGAGAGGCCCCGGAGCCTGTGGCCCCGCCTGCCCACCGCCAGAGGTCACTGGGAGGGAGGCTGGGGCTCCAGCCCCACGGGCGCCCCCACCTACCTGGCCGACTGGGGCTCATCTCCTTTGAGTTTTCTCGCTCTCTCTTTCTCTCTCATGTCGTTTTTTGCAAGAAGTTTCCTTTCGGTATGATGATGAGACACAATATTTTCATTCAAACAGCCATTGAATAAAATATTGTTTGTGCCCCTCCCCTTCCCCTCCCCCTTTTCGTTTGTTTTTGTGTTTGTGTTGTTTTTTGTTTTCCTCGCTTTCTCTCTTGGTGGACTGTCCCAGTGCCAATCAGCAAACTGAAGGGCAAGTATATTCAGAACCAGTGCACCCTCCTCTCCCCACCCCACCCGCCCTCACACCCCTGCTTGCCCCCCTCCCTGCCCAGGACCAGCCACACCCCTGCTCTCCAGGGCCCCTTCCCAGCATCCCCTTGGCTCCTCTAGTTCTTGCCTTTCCTCTGATCCCTAAACCCCTATTAGAGCCAGTGGCCCTTTCCCCTGGCCCTACCTGCAGGGTGGTTCTCCAGCGTGTTCTGAGACCTCAGGCCCCACCTCATCCTCCTCGATCCCTCCAGGCAGGCCACTATCTCCACCCCCAACCTTCTCTATCCCTCCAAGACAACTCAACAGTGGAGACAGGGCTGGATGCCTCTGCACCACCTCCTCCCCAGCAATGCAAGGGCCTGAGATGCAGGGGCCTGAGATGCAGGGGCCTGAGATGCAGGAGGTAGATCAGTCCTCAGAGGGGCTTACATGATGCTTATGGGAAAGGGCCAGGTGCATGAGGCTTCCTCTGGGAGAGTTTTCCCTCCTCTGATCTCTGTTGGTGGCTCAAGAAGCTGGCAGTCCTCCCAAGAAGAGACAGAAGGCTTTGGAAGCCTTGTGCTCTGACCCTGAGGCAAGGAGGCAGGATAACGCAGCAGCAAGGCCACTGGTGAGAACAAAGCAGACCAGAGCATCCTAGGCGCTGGCCAAGGTGCTGAACCCCTGTCCTCTAATGCCCCAGTGCTCCCAGAGACACTGTTAAGGCCACTGGCCCAGCCCTACCCTGGGGTACTCGCTGCTCCTGGGAAGGGTGGTCAGGTTGGAGAAAGTGTTCCCCTGGGAAATAAAAGCAGACTCAAGGACTATGGGCCTGGCCAGGAATGGAAGGAGATCTATCGGGACCCCAAGGGCCAGCAAAAGAGCTTGGAGGGAATCAGTCTAGATGTGAAGAAAAAAGGCTCTGGCACTCACAGGCCAGAGACTTCCAATAAAGGTAGGCAGTGAGCTCGCAGATCCTGGCAAGAACAAGGAGAGTGAGAGAGAGCAGCACACGAGGGTCTCTGCCACTGGTACACACAGAGACACCCCTCTCAGGGAACACCTGGGCAGATGGGGCATGGAGAGCCATGGGAGGATGTCCTGTCCCTGGTCCCCATGGCCTAGAAGCAGGGGCTCCCCAGGAAGCCCTAGAGGCCCTGTCCAGCATAGTCCAGCAAAGCGGATACAGCGACTCCACCACCCTAGGTGGGATAGGGGGTGTACCTTCCTTCCACTGGCTTGAGTTGTCTCTTCTCCCCCTTCCACATCCCTCCCAGTGACCCCAGAAATGCAGAGCCCTAGTAATAATGACAACCATAGATAGTCTCCCTTCCTGCTCCCCCACCCCCTTTTTCTTTCTCCTCTTCCTCCTCTCCCCCCCTCCACTCCTTCCCTGTCGGCTTGTGTCCAAACCCTGCCTTACAGCCCTATCAGAAAGCAACAGTCCAACCAGTGACTGCCCAGCTCCTCCAGGCACCCCAAGTACCCCCTCCCTGGAATCTTGCAGTGCATTGTGGGAGTATTTGGGAACATGGAAGACCTTTCTGCAAAAATAAAGCCCTGGGGTGATACAGATGTTGGAATCTGGGTGAAAGGATGAGAAATTGGATGGCCCAGAGTGCAACAGAGCAGAGGGACACCTTCCAGATGCAGACCAGCAAGATGGCCAGTCCAGCTGAGCAGGGAGAGGCCAGAGAGAAGCCCCAGTAGCCACATCCCCAGATTCACTCACAAATCTACATGTGTAGATTTGTTCACACACACGTTCACACATATACACTGATGCACATGTGCTCACACACACGCTTTCACATGCATTTACACATTCATGCATGTGTGCTCACTCTCACACACATACACAGGCCCAATTTGTGGATCCTTCAACAGCACCCACACTTTCTCCAGAGCCCCCAGAATTCCTCCCTGGCTGCTCTAGCCCAGACAGGCCCTAGGAAGAGGGGAGACAGCCCTTCTTCCCCACCTGCCTTCATGCCCCCAGCCCAAGAGGGCAAGTATGCAGGTTCGAGGGGTCCTCCTGTCCCCTCCCAGCTCCCAGACTCTTCTCCTACAGCGTGGGAACATCCACAGGCACCTCGAGGGTCTCCCGTCACCCAGCTCCTAACCCCACAATGCACTGCAGCCCACCCCAAGCTGCCCATACCGTCTCTGGTTGGACTGTCTGTGCCCGTGAGAAACCCCCTCGGTTTGGCCATGTTGATGCCTGACACAGAACAAAAGCAAGACCTACCAAAATGCAAACAGCTGCAGCAAAGAAAGAGAGATAAAAATCCGCAGCCAAAAGCCAATCCCCTTCCTCAAAGTCTCTTTGGAGGCAAAGGGAGTTCCGCATGCGGTTTTTTTCCATTATGGATGCAATAAGAGCGAGACTGGCACCTCCCCCAGACCATGCATATATATAGCAGTGTGTGTATATATATGTGTGTGTGTGTGTCCGTGTATATGTGCTATACAGCCGTATGGAAGCATATACAGCCACGCCAAGGGACTCACTGCCGACAGAGGACCAGGCCCGGGCAACATATTGGCTATAACTGCCCTCCTCCTGCGATGCTGTAGTCTCCACAGGCCCTCCACCCCTCCCAACCCACCCTTTCTCTCTGGCTCGAACTTGAACGTGGAAGTGGCGGGTTCCCTCTTTGCTGGTGTCTCCCCCTCCCTCAAGCCACCCCCTTCCCTGTCCCTCCAGCCCCTTCAGCTCTGAGCCCCCTGGCCTCCTGCCTCCCCAGCCCCCGCCGGATAACCCCCCGTTTCTGTTGCAGATTTTGAGTTCCTGCTCCCCAGCAGCTTTGAGTCTGAAGGACATGTTTTCATTGCTCCCAGGTAGCTTGCGTGTGGCCTTGCTGAGGTGTCCTCCCCCACCCTGACCGCCCTGGCCCGCCTCCTGCATTGCTACCTGGAGCTCTGTGTATCTGTGTCCTGTGCAGTGTCGCCCCCCCACCCTTCCCATGCATAGCCTCGTATGTGCTGCCATGTGCATACCTGGGCCATGTAGCCGAACCAGGCAGCAGTGGCCAGCTGCCCACAGCTCCGGCTCCCACCAGACTTGGGGTGGAGGGCTCTGGACCCTCTGCTGACGTTCCCTACCCTCCCAAGCAACCAGAAGGAGCCCTTTCTACACTGGGCTGGCTGTCCACAGCATGCCCCTTATGGGCAGCTGCTGCTCTGGTTTGTGGTGCCCTCCCCGCCCTGCACCCTGTCCTTGTCCTATGTCAGTCAGTGTTTGTGTGGGTCTGGGGACCGAGCCAGCCAGAGCCCCTGTCGGCAGTGCCGAGTCCAGGTGTGGTGGCTCACTGAGGATGGGGCAGAAGAAGGGACGGGGGCTTTGAGAACCTGCTTTGACAAGTGAGGGGTCAGGGCCCAACACAGGTCCAGGCCTGGAGCACCCCCTGCGTGCACTTAGCATGCACACACATCCTCATGTGCACACCCTCTGCCTGATGGCCCACGTATGAGGAGACTGGCGGGCCCTCTGGTGGTTAAGCCCTCCTCTGTAACCTGGGCTTTGGATGAGGGCAGGTGGGTGCAGCTAACAGAGATCCACGGGCACTCTCAGGCACCACACAGGGCTCTGGATACTCCTAACCTCTGTGTGTGCACGTGCGTGCATGCACCCACAAATTTCTCTGTGACTCTCCGTAGATGTGTGTTTGTATTTGTGAGTCATTGTGGACGTTTCTAAGAGCTGGAGTATAAATGTGGGGTGGGCTGTGTGCACCAGTGACTGTAGAAATGTGTGAAAAGGCCAGTGTGGTCTACAAGACCCTGCTTACTGAGGAGAGGGACTATGTTTGTTTTTGTCACTTCTGTGTCTTTGGCTTAGGAGAGCTCAATAAATACATATTGGGTGAGTGAATAAAGTAACCCACAAGTAGAAAGGTATATATGAGGGGACTGCAGGTGACTTGTATGTCAAGCCCAGCTGTGTGGGTGTCATTCTGGGTATATCAATGTGTCGTCCACACACAAGTACAAGCTGTGCACTGCACAAAGGCCCTGGGCGCCAGGGAACAAGTGCGGCTGAGCCCCAGTCCCAGGTGCTCTCACCAAGCTGTGTGCCCTAACAGAGCCTGCGGAAGCAGCACATTTAAAAACTTCCCACCCAGTTGCTGCCATATGGGCCAGCAGAGAGGTCTCTGGTGCCGGGTATGAGTGAGGAACTGGCAGGAGAGACAGCTCCATCTACCAGGGTAGAAGGACTACTCGCCAAGACTTCTTGGGGAGTAGAGCCCAAGCAGGCCTCCGCGTGCCCCACGGCCCCCATGCTCTCTGAGCCCTATGAGGGCCTTGAGGTGAGGGATTTGGGCTGTCCACCTCTGGGGCAAGAACGTTCCAGGCAGAAGGAATAGCCAGTCTGAGGAGCAACATGTTCCCACTGACTTCCTGACATCCTCTGTGGTGTGATGGAAACAAAACAGGCTCAGGGAGCTTCAGTGAGTTGCCCAAAGGCACACAGCCAGGAAGCACCAGGTTGAGGCCTTAGACTCGGCTGACTAAGCCAGTTCTGGGACTCCGCCCACCTGGTGCCCATGGACCACTACAGCATACAGGTGGGTGAGCCTGCTAGGAAGGCCTCCCAGATACACGGGAGGTGGGAGGCCCTGCAAGGTCATGCCCAGGAGGGAGAACCTATGAGTGGAGGAAGCTGGCCCTCATTCTCCTGTCAGCTCTGCCCCTACTGAGACCTGAGAGCCTGCCAGGCGCGCGTAGTGGCTGCAGCCTGTAAGAATATACCTGCCCCTCCCTGAGGCCTGGGCTTCTCGGCAAACAACCAGGCAGACCTGTTGGGAAGCCTCGACCCTCTGCCCTGTCCAGCACCCCAAGCCCACTCTTCTTGCCCCCCACCCCCAGAGAGTATTGCAAGGACCTGAATGCCTCAGACAACAATACCGAGTTCCTGAAAAACTTCATTGAGCTTATGGAGAAAGTGACTCCAGACTCCAAGCAGTGTGAGTGCCTGGTGGGGCGGCCTTGAGGAACCAGGGAATGGGCAGGTGTGGAAATACGCAGGCCCAAGCTAAGGGTAGGGCCTGGGCCAGGTCAGGGGGAAGGCTCCTGTTGGAGCCTTGAGGGAAGGGGGTGAGTGGGCAGGGAACCACAAGAAAATGGTGGTTCCTCTCCCTCCACCCCTGCCCTCCCGTTCCAGGCAACAACTTCCTTCTGCACAACCTTATCTTGGACACGGGTATCACACAGCAGCTGGTGGAGCGCGTGTGGCGGGACCAGGATCTCAACACGTAGGCACCACCCAGAATGTGGGGGCGGGAGGCTGGAATGGGGCATGGGGCCCTGGCCCTGCCCTACAGAAGGCAGACCTGTGACCTCACCTCCCTGCTGCCCCAGGTACAGCCTTCTGGCCGTGTTTGCTGCCACCGATGGTGGCATTACTCGCATATTCCCCAACAAGTAAGTGACCTACCCCACTATCCCAACACCCTGCCCCTACCTGGGGCCACTGTCCCCCATAAGCCACCCCTTCCATCAACTCTGCCTGTCTTTGGCTACCAGGGCAGCTGAGGACTGGACAGAGAACCCTGAGCCCTTCAATGCCAGCTTCTACCGCCGCAGCCTGGATAACCGTGGCTATGTCTTCAAGCCCCCACACCAGGATGGTGAGTGTCTTCCCAGCTGCACAGCAGCAGGGAAAGGTGAGGTCTCCCTGTGTGCTCAGCCAGGGCTGGGCTCTGCTCTCTGAGGCACCTCTCAAACACCAGTCTGGCTGAGACTGGGACAGGTGAGAAGAGAGGGCTAGGCTGTGCCAAACGCTATGCTGGGTGCTGGGTGCTTAGGCTGGGGTCAGCCTTGACATGGGCTCCTGGGTCTGCGGGGCTCAGCATAGAGTGGTCAGTGTGGCTGCCAACCCCTCCTCCTGATTGCCTGCCCCACCCCACCCCCACCCCCAGCCCTGTTAAGGCCTCTGGAGCTGGAGAATGACACTGTAGGCATCCTCGTCAGCACAGCTGTGGAGCTCAGCCTGGGTGGACGCACACTGAGGCCAGCAGGTGAGTGCCCAGGGCAGAGGTGGGGAGAGACAATGCGTACGGTGCTGCCCAGGCAGATGGGCATTGATGGCCCCTTGCTCTCCCCCATAGTGGTGGGTGTTAAGCTGGACCTAGAGGCCTGGGCTGAGAAGTTCAAGGTGCTAGCCAGCAACCGTACCCACCAGGACCAGCCTCAGAAGGTACTTGGGCCGGGATGGGGGCAGTAAGCCCAGAGTACCCATTCTGGAGTCCCCAGGAACCCCTACCAACCCTCCTGCTCAGAGTGGCTCTAATGTCTATGGGAAGGCAGGGGCTGTTGCAGATGGCCTGGGGACCCAGATGGATGGAGGGTGATGGGAGGGAGGAAAACTGGTGGGCACCTTACGGTCCTTGCTCTCTGCCCAGCAGTGCGGCCCCAGCAGCCACTGTGAGATGGACTGCGAGGTTAACAATGAGGTGCGTGTACCCTGAACCCTAGCTTACCCCACTCCTGGACTTCTTAGTCCCAAGTGCAATTCCTTGGCCTGTGGGTCTCAACACCCCACCCTGAATTCACAGCTTTACCAGAACTGGGGGAAGTGGTGCCCCTTCCACTCAACCACTGGATTGCCAGGGTCTGGGGAGGAAGTTCTGGGCCCGGGCCCCTGTCCATCTTCCGCCCCCTTCCCCACCTCTTAGGACCTTCTCTGTGTCCTCATTGATGACGGAGGATTCCTGGTGCTGTCAAACCAGAACCATCAGTGGGACCAGGTGAGGATCAGGAAGAGGATACAAGGAAAGGGTCCAGGTTTGAGCCTTCTGAGGGCATGGCACTGCCAGCCCTGTGATTACGGTTCTCTCCCGGCATCCTCAGGTGGGCAGGTTCTTCAGTGAGGTGGATGCCAACCTGATGCTGGCACTCTACAATAACTCCTTCTACACCCGTAAGGAGTCCTACGACTATCAGGCAGCCTGTGCCCCCCAACCCCCAGGCAACCTGGGTGCCGCACCGCGGGGCATCTTTGTGGTGAGTCCCAGCAATGCCTGGACTGGAGGTGGGAGGGCTGGGACACCTGCCCACAGATGACCTCCCACCTCTGACAAGAGTCTAGGGGTAGAAGTGGCACCCATGCCCCCTCTTTATACTTCAGCCCACCGTTGCAGACTTCCTTAACCTGGCCTGGTGGACCTCAGCTGCAGCCTGGTGAGTCCCACAGGGGAGAGGGGTCAGGGAGGGTACCCCCTGGCCGGGAGGGCTCAGATGAAGTGGTGCAGGGCACTGGCCTCTGTTGACCACTCCCACTCGGTGACCCATGCCCTGCAGGTCCTTGTTCCAGCAGCTTCTCTATGGCCTCATCTACCACAGCTGGTTCCAGGCAGGTAGGTAGGGCTTTGGAGGCCCCTCCTCAAAACGCCTCCCTTGTCTACGCAGCGACCGACCCCAAAGGGAGGGCGGGACTTCGGCTGAGAGCAGCTGAGGCCCGAGAGGGTTCCAGGGTGAAGGGGTGGGACTGAGGCGCTCTGGGCCCTCGCAGACCCCGCGGAGGCCGAGGGAAATCCCGAGGCGCGCGAGAGCAGCTGCGTCATGAAACAGACCCAGTACTACTTCGGGTCGGTGAACGCCTCCTACAACGCCATCATCGACTGCGGCAACTGCTCCAGGTGCTGGTGGGAGCGGGACTGGAGGGGCGGGGAGCCTGAGGGCGGGGCCACGGGGCGAGGCCGGGGCGGAGGGGTGGAGAGGACCTCAACGCCCCGCCTGTCTGTGCCGCCTCCAGGCTATTCCACGCGCAGAGACTGACCAACACCAACCTGCTCTTCGTGGTGGCGGAGAAGCCGCTGTGCAGCCAGTGTGAGGCTGGCCGACTGCTCCAGAAGGAGACGCACTGTATCCTGCCCCCGCCCCCCGTCCGCTCCCCTCCGCGCGCCCCCTCCGTGCCGTCGCCTCCTCCTTGACTCCCCACCCATGCCCAGCGGACGGCCCGGAGCAGTGCGAACTGGTACAGAGACCGAGATACCGGAGAGGTCCGCACATCTGCTTCGACTACAACGCGACGGTGAGCAGGGGCGGTGGACCTAACAGCCGCTCCCCTCCCCGAGGGCGGGCGCGCCCAGGCCGACCAGCTCCCGTTCTCTTCCCGCAGGAAGATACCTCAGACTGCGGCCGCGGAGCCTCCTTCCCGCCGTCGCTGGGCATCTTGGTGTCCCTGCAGCTGCTGCTCCTCCTGGGCCTGCCTCCCCGGCCGCAGCCTCAAGTCCACACCCACGCCTCGCACCGCCCTTGAGCACCCCCTCCCGTCCCCCACCCCAGGCCTCCCCGCCTCTCCCCTGCTCCCTGCCCCATATTCCCCACCTTTGATTCTCACCCCCTCCGTCACTGAAGGCCCTGAACCTGTACGCACCAGGCCCCAAGAGTCTTAGACTTGGGGGGGGGGGCATGGGTGTGTGGATCCCGGGAGGTGGGGGGGGAGAATGTCCCACAAGAGAGCGCCGCAGATCTTTGGCCCCCAAACCATATCTGCTGCTGAACTGTCAGAGTGTCCCCAGAGCCCTCATTCCCACTGGACTCACCCATCCGCAGGGCTGGGACAAAGAAGACACAGTACTGGTGCCAAACCAGGCCCCAATGCCCACCCTGCCTGGAAGCTCCCTTTGTGTGGGAGAACTAGGCCCTGCCCCCCTGGACTCCTCTAACCTGTCCCTTCTGCCCCACCTAGGACCAAATCTGGATTCCCTTGGAATAATGGAGGAAGTTGAGGTGGGCAGTTTGAGGCCTGTGCATCCCAGCTTAAGTCTTAGCAGGAGAGAGGTCTGCGACAGCCTCCCAATGGACTCCTGCCCCTCTCAGGCCTATATCCTCCTCTCGCTCCCCCAAGTCCTGCAGGTGTCAAAACAGTGACAGTAACACTGGCTCAGACAACCCCATACACACCTGGAGCCCTGAGGGCAGAAACTGGACTCACATTAGACATACCCCGGAGAACACACACACAAACACAGACATGCACACCATGGGGTGGGGTGGGGGTGGGGGCTCACAAAGCCTTACACAGGGCAAGGGGTTGATGGGAGGGTTGGTACATGCACACCCCATCTCCTGCTCACCACCCCCGTCTAATCTGACCTGCAGCCCAGCTGGTCCTCCATCTCTAAAGCTGAATGTCAAACAGTGCCAAATGCTGGGGCAGATGGTGAAGACCCCTCTGTCCCACCCTAGCCGCCAGTGTCCCCTAAATGCCCCTCATCCCCCACCCCAGGTGCTCATTGTAACCATTTCTCACTAGTGTCAGTCCCCCAGTGGGACAACATGCCACTGCCTGCACCCTTCAGCAGAGGAACCCTCACCAGACATTGCCCTTTGCCTTAGCAGCAGTGACTTGATTGCTCCCAGCTGGGCCATCCCATCCCCAATCTGGCCCTTACACACTCAGGCCTATGCCTACTTCCTGTCTCCTTCTCACTCACACACACACTCCATGCCCCCAGGAGGCCAAACTGCTCCTCCCTGCTGAACACATACTTGCACACGCATATGCACACATACACACACACTGTGCACACACAGAGGCTGGGCCTGGGCACATCACACCATTCATTCTGGTCATTTTCCCCAAAGGCATCCCAGCCTGGGGGCCAGTGGGGGGGGACTGAGGGCAGGGGGATGTGGCCATAGGGCTCAGATGGACTGGGAGGAGGGGGGAGGGTGATGCATTAATTAATGGCTTCGTTAATTAATGTTATGTTGCTTGTCGCTTTCTCAGTGTGTGTGTATGGTCCATGCCCACTGCTGGTGCCAGGGTGGGCACCCATGCTGTACACCCAGCCTAGATGCCAGCCATGTCTTGCGGGGGCGTGTGTGTAACTGTAGTGTAGTCAGGTGCTCAATGGAGAATATAAAAATAAAAAAGGATCAAACATATACAGAAAAATATATATTTTAAGTTTAAAAAACAGAAAACCAGACAAAATAATTCCCATCAGGTAGTTGTCCAACCCCCAGCTGGGTCTGATCCTTCTCATCACCCACCCGACCTGGCTGCCCCCTTACCTCGGGCTCGGGGATCTGTGGGGGACTGGGGGACCATTTCCTTTTCTCTGCCCTTTTTTTTCAGTTGTTGTTCTATTTTGTACAGACAAGTCGGAAAAACAACAGCGACAAAAAGTCAAGAAACTTTGTAAAATATTGTGTGTGTGATTCCTTGTAAAATATTTTCAAATGGTTTATTACAGAAGATCAGTTATTAAATAATGTTCATATTTTCACTTCAAATGGTTCCCATCTACTGTGTCTGCCCCCGGTGAGGATTGAGTAGCTTGAAGACAGGTGACCTTGACCTCAGAGCCCCACTTAGCACTCAGCTGGGAATGAAGGCCATAGCAATCCACATCACAGGTGGCTGTAGGGCCTCCTAAGTGCCAGATACTTTAATCCTCTGTCTTGTATAATCTTCTCAAAATCATCTGGGAAAAGTTGTCTTTAAAAAAAAAAAGCCTCCCAAAGGCTCAAGGAGATGAGATGCAGGTTTAGGTAGGCATCTGGCTATCAGGTCAGCCCACCAGAGTCTAGTGGGCAGGTCCTCCACCCAAAGCAAAGAGAGAATACCTAACCTGAGTCCAGCACCTAGTGCTTGAGGGCCCAGTGCTGCTGTCCAGAGGAGCCAGGGTCTGGTCCACCTAAGAGTATGACCGCTGTTCCTCCCAGCCGAGAGGAAACTCAAGGCCTGGTGCTCTTCATGGCCACTGCTGCTCACACTGAAACCCAACTCTGAGTCAGTTTCTGCAAATCCTCTCAGCCCTCCCTCCGGCCACCACCTCTATGTCCTTATTCATTTTAATCCCAACTCTCTTAATAGTCAACCTTAGTCCATGTGACCTTTACGTTGTTTTCAAAGGGAAAGACACAATCACCAGTGCAGCAGTTTCCCAGTGCTCCTGACTCTGAATACTCAGCACTCATCCCATGCCAGCCAGCTGAGTCACCACAACCTTAGAGTTGGGTGCTAGTTTATCCCTGTACTGCAGATGAGCAAACTAAGACTTAGGAGAAATCCTTTCGCCCCAGATGCGAAGAGCAAGAAATCAGCAAAGGTTTCAGAGAGGAGGTGGCCTGTGGCTTGGGGGCCTTAGATGCTAAATAAATGGAGGAGGGCATTCCAGGCCTCAGCAAAGATACCTTTCCCCACTCCTCTGCAGGGGCTGGCCACAGAGCAATGCCCAACTAGCAACCCCTGAGAAAGCCCCCACGTCCCCCAATAGCCCCGGAGGACCAAGGGGTAGGGGCTGCCAGATAAAATATAGAACATCCAATCAAATCTGAATTTCAGATAATATTTTTTTTAGTAAGTTTTCAATATTGCATGAGACATAACTATACTAAAAAAAATTAGGGACATGCTTATACTAAAAAATTATTCGTTTTCTATCTGAAATTCAAATTTGAGCACCCTGTATGTTGATTTGCTAAATCTGGCAACCCTACCCTGGGGTGGCATCCAGTGGGAACCCAGACCCCTTACAAAGATAAAAGGCTTCAACACCCTTAGTAATCTGGAAGGTTAAGCACACGTTGGCAGTTGCACTGACATGTGGCTGAAAGGAAAGAATTCTGCACTTTATAAATGTAGTTTCTCAAATATGCACATATTTAAAGAGTAATTCAAGATACAGCAAATCAGTTTACACAGCACACAACCTGCCAGAAACCACCACTGCAGTGAAGTGGGGACCGAGGGCCTGTCTTGTCCAAGTTTGTGGGGAAACCTCTCTTCCTCTGGGCCAGCAATCAGAAGTTTGGGGTGGGGAGGTGAGTCACTGAGAGCAGCCCAGCCTTGCTCCTTTGGGGGCAGGAGACCGGAGTTTGAGTCGCAGCTCCACCTTACTTGTAACAAGTGCAGCGTGTGCAGCACACTCACTGAGCACACAGGGTGAACTGGGCCAGGAATTTGGCCAACGTTACACAGCCACCAAATGGCAGAGCAAGAATTCCAACCTAGGTCGAGCCTCAGACATCCCATACAACCTGAGTGAGGCATGTGCACATTCTTACCCACACACCTGCCCACAGTGACACACCCACTCAGATGTACATGCACAAAGAGCCAGGGGAATTCAGCAAGTGCGTGGCCTGCAGTTGTGGTGCCGCCGGTACCCGCCGCTTTCCCAAGGTTGGCGATGCTCTTTCACCCACTCCCACCTCCCGAGAACCGGTGGAGAGGGTCCCGAGAACCACAGTTCCCAAGCACACCCTCCTTTCACCACCTACAGGAACGGTCGGGGCGCACAGCCTCCTGGGACTTGTAGTTCTACCCAGAACCCTGATTTCCGCTCGTCCCCAGCTTCGGCCAAGGACTCGGTGTCCCAGCATGCCACGGAGCCGGAAAACCTACGCTAAAAGGGCATCCCGCCGCCGCTCGGGGCGCACTTCGCGCAAGCGCATCACCTCTGTTTGTCGGTTCCTGAAGAGGGAGGAGGTACGGTCGAAGCCAAGACCTAGGCCGAGCCGTAGCTGTCCAGACTTGACTCGGGCCCAGAACTAGGCTCCAGGCTCGCGCGGACCGTAGGACCCTGGAGTGGATGGAGTAGGCCCAGCCCTGAGATCAACACCAGCCCAAGCGCCTGGCGCGCAGCCCACGGGGCGGGCAGGCAGGCGTGCCGAAACCGCCCAGGGCCTTCCCTCAGGTCCCCGGCGAGGGGCCTAGGCCCCGGCCCCGCAACCTGTACCGGCTCGGCCCTTTGGGAGCGGAGCCGACCCGACCAGACGTGGAGCCTTCACCGGGGCCATAGGCCAGTGATTAGGCCGAGCCTGGGCCTCCCGTCGGGGCCGAACTGGGACGAGGCCCCGGGGAGGCCCCTAGCCCACTAAACCCTTCCCTCAGGCCGACGCCCGCCGGGAAGATGCAGCGCGCCCTACCGGGCGCCCGTCAGCACTTGGGGGCCATCCTGGCCAGCGCCAGCGTGGTGGTGAAGGCCCTGTGCGCGGCGGTCCTCTTCCTCTACCTGCTGTCCTTTGCCGTGGACACGGGCTGCCTGGCTGTCACCCCAGGCTATCTCTTCCCTCCCAACTTCTGGATCTGGACCCTGGCCACCCATGGGCTGATGGAACAGCACGTGTGGGATGTGGCCATCAGCCTGGCCACCGTGGTGGTGGCTGGACGTCTGCTAGAGCCCCTCTGGGGGGCCTTGGAGCTGCTCATCTTCTTCTCAGTGGTGAACGTGTCTGTGGGGCTTCTGGGGGCCTTCGCCTACCTCCTCACCTACATGGCCTCCTTCAACTTGGTCTACCTTTTCACCATCCGCATCCACGGCACCCTGGGTTTCCTAGGTGGTGTCCTGGTGGCACTCAAGCAAACCATGGGAGACTGTGTGGTTCTGCGAGTGCCCCAAGTGCGCATCAGCGTGGTGCCCATGCTGCTCCTGGGGCTGCTGCTGCTGCTGCGGCTGGCCACGCTGCTCCACAGCCCAGCACTGGCCTCTTACGGCTTTGGGCTGCTTTCCAGTTGGGTGTATCTTCGCTTCTACCAGCGCCATAGCCGGGGCCGAGGGGACATGGCCGACCACTTTGCTTTCGCCACCTTCTTCCCTGAGATCCTGCAGCCCGTGGTGGGGCTGTTGGCGAACTTGGTCCACAGCCTCCTGGTGAAGGTAAAGATATGCCAGAAGACGGTGAAGCGCTATGACGTAGGGGCCCCGTCCTCCATCACCATCAGCCTCCCAGGCACAGACCCTCAAGACGCAGAGCGGAGAAGGTACTGTGGAATCTTCTGAAAACCTTGTCGTGCTAGGAGAATATTTCTTAATTCACGTTCTCTCTGTCAAGGTGCTTGCTGTGTGTAGGCTGGCAGCCAAGGGTCAGGTGCTGGGGCAGACGCAGAAAGAGAGCAGATCCTGTTTGTGACTTGAGGAACTCAGCCTTTAGGTGTCTAGGCTCCAGTAGGTGCTTTCCAACATTAGGGAGTGTTGCTTTTCTCACCATGCTGGCTGCTTAACAAGTCTCAAGAAATGCAGTTTCCTTTGGTGCTGTGTGAGGGGCTAATGGAGAGCCCTGGCCTTGTGTCAGTCTTGGAGTCCTAGACACTGGTTCCGTAGGAGCCAGAAACCACCTGCTGGTCCTTGAGAAGGAGACCTGGGATCCTTAAGAGGCAGTCTGGGCCACCCCAGTTGCTAAGCCATGTTCTCTTCCTGGGCCTTAATTCAGATACTGTGCTTCTCTGCCACTTATTGAGAGGGAAGCTTGGAGTATTACCAGACTTATCCCGCCCTCCCACTGGCATGTGTTACCAAACCCAGGGGACAGGCCACGTGACCCCAGGGAATGGAGACAACCTTTTCATTATCTGTAAACCAAGCCATCTGCACCATCAGGAGGCCCAGCTGAGTTACTCATTCAGTGCACCTTGGCCAAGGCGGGTCTGTTTTAATCCAGCTCTTTCTCTGTCCCAGATCTGTTGTCTCTGCAGAGTGGTCACAGCTCTGTTTCCAACATTCCTGGGGGGATTTTTCGAGGCAATTACTTGAGTAGTGAAATCTGGAGCAGGCTCTGTTCCTACTTTGCATTTGTCAAAGGCTCCTGCTTTTGCTCACCTGTGAACTGGGTCCCGGAAGCCTTATGAATTCAGCTGAAGAGTTAGCGCTGTGCTTACTATCCACTGGGGCTGTGGAGTTGAGTGTGGGCTGCATCCCTTTCTTGAAAGTTTCCAGCTGGGGAACCACAGATTCCACACATCAGTATGGTCCAAGGTGGCAGGTGCTACAGGGCATAACTGCTGGCCCTACAGTTTGTGTTTCTATGGCTGATGAATCCTAAAGATTGAGGTCTGTCTTAACCTTATGCAGCGGAGGAGATAGAGCCAGGAGGGCTGGGCCTGGTAGAAACTGAGCTGTCCTCAGAGCGATTCAGGTGGGGCCAAGCTGCAGTGGCAGCCCCTCCTCCATTGAAAGGTCTTGGATTGCTAGGGTTGGCTGGACATTCAGAATACCTCTGCTCAGGCCCAAGAAAATGAACAGGTGGAGGCAAGTTGGGGGGTATCAGGAGGTGGGTTCTTGACATAGCCTTGTGGTTGTGAGCTTACTTGGGGATGAGGGTTACTCCTCCAACCACTTTGACATCTGGCTGCACGCTATTCTCAGACCTAAAAGGCTACTGTGGGACACAGGGTTTCCTATCCTTGACCCTGTGAGGAAGTCACTAGCAAGCCACCACCTCTCTACCTTGGCAGGCCTTTGACAGACTTGACAAGCAGTCTCCAGGACGGGAGCCTGGGTAGCAGCAAAGAAAGTGTCCTGTCCTTGCCGTGTGCCAGGCTGGAGGACAGAGTGGACGTACGCTGGGGCTTTCTGTGCCCATGTCATTGTTGCCTCTCCTGGCATGGTAGAGATTTTGGTTCTCTGCTGGAACCTGGAAGGATACACAGGCTGCCTCCCATGCTGGTGGCAGAAAGGTGGAAGGATCAGGGGTCCACAGTGCTACCAAGTGCACATATATACCTTCTACTAGTGAACTTTCCCACCCCCCTCCAGAGTGGCGTCTCCGAAGGTCTGCCCAGAACCAGTAGGCTCCGGCCTGTGCTGTTTGTCCTTTCTCTCTTCCTGCAAGGACTCAGCATGTCCCTACTCTAACACAGGTCTAGTGACTTTGGCGATTCTTCTGGGAAGAATATTAGAATCGATTAGGAGGGGTGGGCTGACCCAGCTTGGCCCTGCTTCCCGGGCTAAGAGCCAAGGCAGGTGCTTTATTCCCACCCTTCCCCCCACAGACCCGTGCCAGGAGGCTCTTTACACCCCTAACAAGGGGAGAGAAGTAATCACCCTCTCTAGTGATGCCAGTGCCCAGGCAGAAACTCACGTCCAGGGATTTGCGCTTCTACCCATCTACCCTGGGGTACCAGCTCTGCCCACCCTTATGCACCACCCTCAGAACCCTTCCTGGGGCTGGCCTGTGGGAAGTGTGGCAGACACCCTGCTGGCTTTCTCAGCCTGGAGGGGCCCCACTTATGGAGAGAAGGTTCTACAGCCTTTGGATCCTCGTGCTGATGGCAGAGTGGGTCCTGATCCAATCCCTGAGGAGCCCTGGGCCCTCCATGGGGAAGGGAAACACACAGGATTCTGAATGATTGTGAGAGAGGAATCTGAGTGGTAAGGGGAGTCCACTTCATGGGAGAAGAGTCCAGGGCAGGGGTCGGCAAACTTTTGAGACAGAAGTGCCACCAGGGGTCAGCAAACTGCGGCTCACGAGCGCAGGCTCTGAAGCAAAACTGAAAATGAAAATCTATCCTAGTTTCATTTATAAAATTCTTAAAGGATATTACTCACATAATGGTGATTATATAAAAATATATTTACGGCTCTCAAATAATTTTTAAATTGTTGTGAGGGACAGGATTGGCTCTTCCAGGGGTTGGCAGACTTTTGAGATGGAACGTACCCAAAGAGCCGCACATGGCTCGCAAGCCACAGTTTGCCGACCTCTGGTCCAGGGCATGAGCCAAGTCCAAACCCAGAGTGACCTGTCATCTTTCCTCTGGCCCCAGGCAACTGGCCCTGAAGGCCCTCAACGAGCGACTGAAGAGAGTGGAGGACCAGTCCGTCTGGCCAACCATGGATGACGATGAAGAGGAGGCTGAGGCCAAGGTGGACAGCCCCCTGCCCTCAGATAAAGCCCCCACACTCCCAGGGAAGGGGGCTGCCCCAGAATCCAGCCTAATCACTTTCGAGGCAGCTTCCCCGAAGCTGTAACTGCAGACCACCTTGAGTATAGCACCTGCTCTCCCAAGTTCCCCTTGACACCCTCAGCTACTCCAGGGCACTGCTCTAAGGAGAGGGAAGATGGCCTGCTGGGGCTTCCCACAGCCTTCTGCTATTTCTCGCCAACACTACCCAGGACTCTTGCTACCTGGTTCCAACTCCAGACAACCACTATGTCAGGCATGGGACCTCCAAAGCATCAGCCAGCCCAGGCCATCTGGGGTAAGACTGTACCTCAGCAAGCAGCCGAAGCAAGTGACTGCAGAGACACTGGTGCCACAGCGCCTGGGCCAGCCCTCACGCCTGATACTGGTTGCCGAGAGCCCTGAGCCAAGGCAAGGATTTGCCAAAAAACGTTCTGGGGGGTCCAGCCAGTGCAGGAGCCAGCACAGGGCTGCACATCCCCGCCCATCCCCAGAAGAACTATGTTCATGTCAAGATTTCTGGTTCCCTCTGCTGTGGCCATGGCTGAAAAGCCACAGCTCCCAGATATTTTCTACAGGACCACTTGAGTGGGCAGCCAAGCCCAGCCGTGCAGTATCAATAAAGCAGTTCTTTGAGATACGATTCCTGGGCTCTGTCAGACCACCTTGTGCAGTCCCCTCATCATGCTCAACTGCAAAGTTAGATAAGGACCTTAGGTTCAAGGACTCAGTCCCCATGGCAGCACCAGCTGGATAAGAAGCCCATTGCCCCCACCCTACCTCCCATTACCACCACATGCTCACTGTCAAGCAACCTTACACCCTTATTCATTTTCTCTCTCCCTCCTATCCCCAAGAAGGGAGGCCCTGACCAGGGGGTCTAACGACTGAAGGCCTCTCTATCATAAGGAATTGTTCTTATCCACGGTTCACCTCCAAGAGTACTCAGTGCTTGACACCTATAGAGACAGCCCATTCCTAGCTCCCATCCTGTCACTGTCCAGATCTAACCACCACAGCTTGACACTCCAGCCCAGTGGGCAGCTGGGAGACCAAAAGGACACGTACCATTCACAGCTACAGCCCTAGGGCCTGGGTGGCATGGGACACTCAGCAGCCAGATGCTGGAGCCTTGTGTGCTGGTACAGCTTCAGCACATCCATGAGCAGCCAGGCACGACAGGTCCTCATCTTTCCCAGCAGCCCATTTTCTTCATGCTCACAGCCCTAGCGAGAACTATCCCCAACTTTGAGCTATTTCCCCCCATCCAGTCTTTTCAGTCTTTTTTTTTTTTTTATATAGAGGGCAGTGTCACTGGCCCTCATATGTGGGATCCGAACCAGGGCCCTCTGGCGTCCCAAGCCAGCTCTTAACCAACGCGCCACTCAGCCGGCCCTCAGTCATTTTTTTATTCCACTTTTTTCCTCCTGTAATTTCTGGACATACACATATTAGTTGAGTTGCTGGGGAGGCAGTCTTGCAACCCCAACTTCACCCAGACACATGATCCACAAGCTCCTCTAGGATGGTAGAGAGGGGGAAAGAAGGCGTTCCAGTGTGAGCAGCAAGCACAAATGTCGCACACAGGACTCCTGCTCCTCAGTGCCCCAGTGCCTGAGGCGTCCCTGTGACCTCGTCAGCTGAGAGAGTCCAGGAAGTCCCAGCCCCAGCTCCTACACTGAAGGACAAATCCAGGCTTCTCGGCTGAGAAGAGCTCACGGCTGAATCCTTTTGCGGTATAGGTAGGCATTGCTCACCTGGTTCATGATAACCAAGCTGGTAATGACAGGGCATAGCACAGCCAGGTACCAGACCCCACCAGTGACTGTGGCAGTGAACCAGAGTGAGCACATGCCCAACAAGAGGCTGGCACTACCCAGAAGGTAGCCCACTAGCCCAGAAGTGGCATGGTACAGCTTGAGCTTGGCCAGGGGCCATCGGGGCAGCAGTTTGGGGTACAGCAGCCCAACCCCACCTGAGCACTGCAGCCCCGCCCACAACACAGCTAGCAGCCCTGCGCGCCCATGCCAAGTGGCCAGGTGGGTTTTGCCAAGCTGTTCCTTGTGGAGGATGACAAGGCCCAGGCCCAGCAGTGCGCACAGCAGGGCCAGCAACTGCAGTACCCAGTGGCAGCGTGCTCGGCCTTTCCGCGAGAGGGAGCGCAGCAGCGAACTCTCAGGAGAAAACACCAACAGTGCTTCGGTCATCAGGAAAGAGAACTGGGGAGACAGGGATGGGAAACCTAGTGAGAGTGCTGCCCGGCAAAAGGGAAGAGGGATTTAGGTACCCGTCAATCTGGGCAGATTTCCCTCCATTCTCTCCCCACTGACAAAAGTATCCATTTGGTGGGGCAGGAGTGGAGAACTGCATCTGGGACAGTACCTCTGTCCCGAGTAACCAGCAAGAGGTATGTACCCCTCTGTATTTCTTCCTAGGTGCTGTTCTGAAATGTCATCTCTGCTGTTACCCAGTAAACCCAAGGTTTGAGATGTGGCACTTATAAATGATTCATAAGTTTTGTTTCCCCAAACGGAGTTGGATACAATTTCTTGGCAGAGCTGGCCAAGCGGGTGCACTGTGTCAGGGAAAATTAGATGCATCACTATAAGTTAAGGTAAAAAGGGACACAGGTACACCCAAATGCATTTTCTATGCTTCCTGCCTAGAGGTAGGTGAAGTCTCATTTTGTGCTTTACAAACCCTGCCCGTTTGCCCTGGGTCCTGAATACTCTGGTTCAAGTCTGGGATGCACACCATGGGCAGGAATTGAAGCATTCAACTCCTTCAATCTCCTGTCCCACCCCTCCAAACAGATATTAAGTGACCATAAGGATTCAGAGGCCGCCAGGGCCACCAGCCATACTTATGCTCCCTCCCATCCCTAAGTGCTGGCCAGGCCCATTACTTACAGCCAGAGACATAAGCACGGGGTGCCAGGAGAACAGACCTGGAATGAGAAGAGGAGGCCTTGTGAGACCGAGGCACGGAGAACTCAGCCACACCAATCCTACGGGCTAAGGAAAACGAGCAGTCCATTGCCCAAGGAAGTGCCGCCAAAATGCGAGACCCCCTCCCGTCGCACTTTGTGAGAGGCAGCCAAGTGGCGCACCAAGACAAGGAAAGAGACACCAGGTACTCTGGGGCTTGGCCAAGCTGGCAGAGCCCCCACATTTATCTACACCACCCCACTTATCCCTCCAGCACGGCATGCCCCTTAGCCAGCCAGGCCTTTCCCAGGAGTCAGGCCCAAGACTTCCTACTGCCCCTACTCCCCAGGAAAAGTGGCACTTTCCTTCCCAGAAGTTAACTGTGAATTATACTTACTGGAGCCAGGCCTGGCAAGCACAGCCACAAAGATGGTGAAACCCAGGGCAACAAGGTGGGCAGCAGCCCCAGAAGCAGTGCGCAGAGCTCGGTAGATATGCGACTCGGTCTCCACAGAAAGGGCCATGGTCAATCAGGCCGGTGGCTGTAGCCTGAAAGCATAGTAGAGTGAGCAAGGGTCTTGGATGCCTGCAGTCCACTCCTCTCACTGGAGCAAGGGTTGCAGGGCAGGAATGCCACGCACGCTCTTCCAAGAAGTTAAGGTAGGAAGGGACAGTACCAAGACAGGCACCAGGAACAGTCGAGGACCGGAGGTCTGTCAGCGTGTACCTGCATCTGAACTGGCACTGATCACTGGCCCACCTTCCAGGTAGGATGCGCAAAGCCGTGTAATAATCAAATAATCAAGTTGACTACAAATCCCAGCGTGCACCACACCGTCTCCGGGCGGGAGCGCCAGCTGGGAAGGCATGAAGCACTTCGGGAACTGTAGTTTCCAGCTGCGACCAACTTGCAGCCTGAATCCCTTAGCGCCGCTGGCATGCTGTCCCTACATTCTAAAGATTCGCCTGCCTCACCCGCAGCGCCGACCCGACACAGTGGTTTCCTCCTGAGAAAGCGGGATACTCGCGGCCCTGCAGCGCGCACCGCCGCTCCGTCGCGGAACCGCTTCACTTCCGGGTGTGAAGTCTACCCACCCGGGACTTCCTGTGACGAGCCCCCTCTGCAGCCACAGCGCTGAGTTGCGCTGCGCAGGCGCTGTTGAGAAGACGGCTTCACGGGTGTGTGATTGCGCAGGCGTGTTCGATCTGGCAGCCGAGGCCTCCGAGCTTTTTCTGAAAGGTGTTCCCAGGGGTCGGGGCTCCAGGAGATATGGCCCCGAGCCCTGCTAGCGCCATGGGCAGCGGCTGCCGCATCGAATGCATATTCTTCAGCGAGTTCCATCCCACGCTGGGACCCAAGATCACCTATCAGGTGCCATCCGGGCTCGCGGGGTTGGAGGGGAAATAGGGAAGCTCTTGAGAGCTCAGCCCGCTTGCCTGGAAGCAGTGGATCCCCGTCCCCGCGCTGCACGCAGGCCTGCCACTCCTTTATTCGTGGAGAATCGTGAATCGTGAGGGTACTCAGACCGAAGCCCCAGGCTCCCGGTGTGGCAGGGCAGACAAACACCACATAGGCAGTGATTGTGGGAAATCGGGTGTGGGAACTCAAGCTAGGTGCCAGGTCCCACAATTAGTGGAGGTGGGTGATCCACTCCTATCCCTGGATACATAGGAATTTAGATGAGGGAGGAGAGAGTGTGCCAGGTAGAGGGAACAGCATATGCAAAAGCCAGGAGGCAAGGGAGAACATAGTGTGTGTTTGGAAACAAAGGAATGGTAGGCCTGAGTGGATGGGAGAGAGGAGAAATGCTGGAGAAGACGGCTTGGGCCTTGGGGCTTTACTGTTTACTGCGCTTAGTCCCAAGGTCCACTAAGAAGCCTCTTGCCACTCCCCTCCACAGGTTCCTGAGGACTTCATCTCCCGGGAGCTGTTTGACACCGTCCAGGTGTATATCATCACCAAGCCAGAGCTGCAGAACAAGCTCATCACAGTGTGAGGCCCTAGCTGGGGGGTTCCTGGGAGGAGTGGACAGGCTTGAGAATGAGAGGAGCCTGACTATGTTCCCACCTGTCTTCCTATCCAGCACAGCCATGGAGAAGAAACTGATCGGCTGCCCTGTGTGCATTGAGCACAAGAAATACAGCCGAAATGCCCTGCTCTTCAACCTGGGTTTCGTGTGTGATGCCCAGGCCAAGACCTGTGCCCTCGAGCCCATCGTTAAAAAGCTGGCTGGCTATCTGACCACACTGGAGGTCTGCAACACGATGGGCTTGGGTGGATGGGCAGGCAGAGTTGGGGAAGGTGTTCACATATCTCCAGACCTAGGAATCTGCCAAGGCAGAATGCCAACCAGTGGTCCTGGAGGGGGGCCCACCATGCTGTCCATACTCCATCCAGCTAGAGAGCAGCTTCGTGTCCACAGAGGAGAGCAAGCAGAAGTTGGTGCCCATCATGACCATCTTGCTGGAGGAGCTAAATGCCTCAGGCCGGTGCACTCTGCCCATCGGTATGGCCCAGTCTCTGCAAGGACAGTGGGCGGGTAGAGGAGGGATGGGAAAGTGACAGGGGAAGGTGAGCCCAGCCAAGAACAAGACTCATGAACAAATTTGTGGCCAGGAAATACCCATGAGCTGAGCTGATGGTGTCCAGTTCATGATAGAGATGGGGCTAGGGAAGCCAGCAGAGCTCCCCAGCTCTGCTCTTTGAGCATGTTTTTTCCCCTCACTGGACCTCAGTCTCTCGCTCCATAAAGGGGAAGATTGGCCCTACCTAGATCCACCTGCCTGCCTCAGGGGTTGCTGGGAGGACTGGATGGTAATTGAGGGCCTCTTGGAAGAGATGGCACTGAGAATATGGGTGGGCCCCCTGCAGATGAGTCCAACACCATCCACTTGAAGGTCATTGAGCAGCGGCCTGACCCTCCTGTGGCCCAGGAGTATGATGTGCCCGTCTTTACCAAGGACAAGGAGGATTTCTTCAACTCACAGTGGGACCTCACCACACAACAGGTGTGCTAGCCCTCCCTGGGTATCACCTGGGTTTGGCCACAGCCCTGGCCTCACTCCGCCCCTACTGACCCTGCCCTGTCCTGCCCAGATCTTGCCCTACATTGATGGTTTCCGCCACGTCCAGAAGATCTCAGCTGAGGCAGATGTGGAGCTCAACCTGGTGCGCATTGCCATCCAGAACCTGCTGTGAGTGGGGTGACAGTGAAACCCAGGCCAGGGTCGCCAGCCAGGGAGGAGCCCGGGAGCCCTGAGTATGGGGTCTGGGAAGGCATGGCTGAGCACAGCTATCTCCCCCAGGTACTATGGTGTTGTGACACTGGTGTCCATCCTCCAGGTAGGTGAGTCTGGGGTCTGGTTATGTGGAACTAGATCACATGGCTGAGCCAGACTGGAGCCATGCCAGACTTCCAAGCCCCTCACTCAGGCCCTTGTACCTCTCCTGCTGCCCTCCAGTACTCCAATGTGTACTGCCCAACACCCAAGGTCCAGGACCTGGTAGATGACAAGTCCCTGCAGGAAACATGTCTATCCTACGTGACCAAACAAGGTAGTGGTGGGCTCTGGGGGAGGCCACCTCCAGGAGGGCAGCACCCCCTGAAGAGCTGACCCCTGGTACCCACAGGACACAAGAGGGCCAGTCTCCGGGATGTGTTCCAGCTATACTGCAGCCTGAGTCCTGGCACTACTGTGAGAGACCTCATTGGCCGCCACCCCCAGCAGCTGCAGCGCGTTGATGAACGGTCAGAAGGGGTGCAAGGGGTTTGCCTGAGGGCAGATACACGCCCCTGTCACCGGAGCCCTGGGTTAGAGAGGAAGCGGGAGATTTCCAGTGGGCAGAATCATGTGTCACTGCTAGCCCAGGCAGGCTTTCTGGAGGTGATGGCTTTGGAGGCCAGTTTGGTCATTGAGATAAAATTGGAGGGGAGGTTGCACGAAAAGGTTGGCCTGGCTGGAAGGATGCCTGGCCAGGGCATCACCCATCTCTCCCTCGACCTGCACCCCAGGAAGCTGATCCAATTTGGGCTCATGAAGAACCTCATCCGGAGACTACAGAAGTACCCTGTGCGGGTATCTCGGGAGGAGCGGAGCCACCCTGCCCGCCTTTACACAGGCTGCCATAGCTACGATGAGATCTGCTGCAAGACAGGTAGAGGCAGACAGGAAAGTAGGGATGGGGTCAGGGCAAGGTGGCCAAGCCAAGGGTGTTGACCTTACCTCCACCACTCCATTCAGGCATGAGCTACCGTGAGCTGGATGAACGGCTGGAAAATGACCCCAACATCATCATCTGCTGGAAGTGAAGCTGGTGGGGGCAGGACCCAGACACGGCTGCATCTACTCTCCTGCTAAGCCCTGCCTGGTGCATGAGGGCTAGACCAGCAGACTAGTCCATTCTGTCTCAAGGTTGACTCTCAATTCTATAAATAAAGTCATCCATGTCAACCTACCTTTATTAAGTACCACCTCTGAGCCAGCCACCAGAGAACGAGCAGTGAATGAAATAGCCACGATCTTGGCACCCTGGTGTGCCATCTGGTGGGCAGGGCTGGCAGTGGACAAGTAAATATGCCCGCTAATTAAAAACTAAAACAATCGGGAAGCTGTGACGAAGAGCGTTGGGATGGGAGCTGGGGGGGGGGGGGGGGCTGCTCTAGATTAGATGGGCAAGAAAGGCCTCCCTAAGGTGATGCAAACTGAGCCCTGAAGGAGGAAGAGTTCCAGGCATAGGGAACAGGTGCAGAAGCCCTGAAGCAAAAACCACTTTGGGATGTATGAGGAACCCAAGGGAGGCCTGTGGGGCAGAAACTGGAAGCAAGGGGGAGAGAGGCGAGAAGCAAAGTCCAGAGGTAGGAGAAAGGGCAAGAGCCTGATACTGCTGAGCTGCTGGCAAGCTGCTTTGGATGTAGAATTGTGAGGGCCAGAGAGGCAGCCATAGAGCCACCCTCATGCGAGGGGATAATGCCTCACGTACACCTTTAAAAGATTCTTCGCTGCTCAGGAGTGAAGTGGGTCTAGTAAAAGGGCTCAGCAGTGACGTGCGAGGTGACGGCAGCCTGGACTAGGATGGAAAGAAGTTGTGGGCCATGCGCAGTATTTCGGGGGTCCAGCCAACAGGTGGATCTGGGCGCGAGAAATACTGGAGCGAGCAAGCCCCATAGAGGAATATATGTGGGCCAGGACGGAGCAGCTGCTGGAAGAGCTGGTGGAGGGCGGGGCGACTTGACCTCCGTCCGAAGAGAGAGCCTAGGCCACAGAAGTCTCGCACTCGGGAGACCCGTGAGCCGCAGCCGGTTGTGAAGGAGAAAGCACCAGGAGTCGGAAAAACAGTTGCTACTCGCGCGAGGCGAACCCGGCAGTGCAGACCCTGCGCAGCTGGCGGGCAGGGGCGGACCCCAAGTCGCACTGCGCAGGCGCCGAGCTAGCCGTTTCCATGGTGGCGAGTACCCACGCGCCCCAACCGCTCTGCAACTTTCGGGTCGCAGACTTCCGCCCCGTGGGACACCGTTGTCCTCGAACGTGTCGCCCCACCACCACCACCACCTCAGCGCCGGCCGCTGCCCGGAGTCAGCCTTTCCACTCTCTGGCCCCGACCCCGACATGGGTGACCTGGAGCTGTTGCTGCCCGGAGAGGCTGATGTGGTGGTGCGGAGACTGCGCAGCTTCCCGCTACGCGAGATAGGCTCCGGAGGGTGAGGCAGTTGGATCAAGGGTCAGGCGGCGTCATGCAGTCAGTTCTTGAGTGGGGGGAGTCCTGACAGTGCAGGGAGGGGTTGCCCAGTGTGGAGGGGCCCGCAGGTGGGGAGGTAAAACTCTCTGAAATAACAATAGATGTATATGGTACTGAGCCCCCTCTGGCGCCTGAGGATCAGGTTAAGCTTCAATGGAACGCAGCCCCCACCCCACTAAATACTGTATACATGTGTACCTAAATGTATACACACACACACCCTGGGGTAGGTGGAACCACCAGCATGAGAACCTGGAGAAGCTGAACATACAGGCCATCCTTGATGCCACTGCCAACCAGGGTGAGCCCATCCAGGAGCTGCTGGTCACCCATAGGAAGGTATGCTGGGGTCACAGGGTTCCTGCCTTCCCCCCCCCACCCCATCACTCTGCCCCTCAGGAGCACCCTGAGTGCCTGTTCTTCCCTCTAGCTGGTACACCTGTCCTCCCCAAAGGAGGAGGAGGAGGAGGAGGAAGAGTGTTACACATTTGATTTTGCACCCTTGTTGGACATGACCCTGGCAAGCCAGGCCAGGTGCAGAGCGTAGTTGACTAGAGACATAGTCGTGGACCCTAGAATAGCGTAGTGTAGGCTGCAGGGAAAGGAACCAAGTTCTAAAGACATTCCTGAATAGACTGTCAGACTGCAGAGGGCCCCCATTGAAGTGGGGGTGGAACTTTGGCATGGAAGGAGGCAGCCTTCCCAATATGACAGAGAGGGAGTTAGAAACCAGGGATTGGCTTAGTTGGAACATGAGCCAGGAGGTGGCACCAGTAGATGACCTGAGATATCACATGACAGAAGAGTTCCTCTGCAAGGAAAAGGTGGAGCCCCTTACTGTAGGGGTGGGGGGGAGGAATAGGGCACCAGATAAGGGTGAGGCCAAGGCACACAAGAGTCTTGGTAGGCCAGAGGACAGGGACAAATGGAGGGCATAAGCAGGAGGGGTGGCCTGAAGGATACCTGGATGGGGTAGGAGGGGACAAGGGCACATGTACAAAGGGAGCAAGGCAACCTGGAGACAAGGCAAGGGCCAGTCACAGGAAACATGGGAGATGCCCCCACAGAGATGTCAGGGGCAGCTGGAAATGAGGGTCAAGATGCAGGGGAGAGGGTGAGAAGGTACTCATGGAGCATAGGAGAGTCTAGAGGCCCAGGGGAGTTTGAGGAGAGCTAGGAGGGGTTAACCAGGGATGGGAGGGTTGCCAGGCCAGGTTAGGCCCACCTCATCCTTGTCCTTCGCCCCGCCCCAAAGATCCCAATGCTGGTGGAGGAGCTCATTGCAGTGGAGATGTGGAAGCAGAAGGTGTTCCCTGTGCTGTGCAGGCTGGAGGACTTCAAGCCCCACAACACTTTTCCCATATACATGGTGGTGAGCTGGGCCCCTGGTTTACACCCCGCCCATCCCTTTAGAGAGCCCTGGACTAGAGAGGGGAGCTAGTAGCCCCTGTCCCTGCGTCAGCATCCCCAGACCCTGTTCTCTTTATCTGCCAGGTACACCATGAGGCCTCCATCATCAACCTCCTGGAGACAGTGTTCTTCCACAAGGTGAGGCGCCAGTCCTGCCCATTGGCTACTGCTCCAGGCCAGGGCCTGGCAGCAAGAGGGGTTGTATCTGTGTGTGTGTGTGTGGAGACACAGAATGTTTCCCCTCCACCTACCCCCAGGAGGTGTGTGAGTCAGCAGAGGACACAGTCTTGGACCTGGTGGACTACTGCCACCGCAAACTGACTCTGTTGGTTGCCCGGAGTGGCCATGGAGGGCCCCCTGAGAAGGAGGAGTCCCAGTACAGCACCCCCATGCAGGTGGGCTGAGGTTCCCTGGGGTTGGCAAGGGCTAGACCCAGGCTCCCCCAGGCCTAAGCATGTGTGCTCCCCAGGAGCTACAGAAGCAGGCAGAACTGATGGAATTTGAGATCGCGCTGAAGGCGCTCTCAGTGCTGCGCTACATCACAGACTGCGTGGACAGGTGCTTGGCCTGCCTGGCCTAGGATGTGCAATGGAGGGCTGGGAGCCTGGGCCTGTCGCCTCTGCTCACCTCTCCCTACCCTCGCCCCTAGCCTTTCCCTGAGCACCCTGAACCGCATGCTCAGCACCCACAACCTGCCCTGCCTCCTGGTGGAACTGCTTGAGCACAGTCCCTGGAGTCGGCGGGAAGGAGGTAAGGGCCTCCCCACCCTGCCTAAGCCCCAGGACAGTCTCCAGGATTAATGCAATTGGCAGTTTGAACACAGGCAGACAAACTCTGCCCCCTAGCCCACAGAGGATACCAGGATGCCTCACCCAGAGTGGGCCTAGACCTGGGCTCTGCAGCAGTTGAGGCCCATGTGTCCACTACTGAGGACTCACCATGTCTGGAGCAAGCAGCATCACAGTCTGGGCAAGTCCTGTGCCCACACAATGGTCTGTTCCCCAGCCCATGCAGCTGCTCACTCAAAGAACATGCAATGCCTGCACCCAGTATGCTGGTTCTTGTTCCTCTCCCCAGGCAAGCTGCAGCAATTTGAGGGTGGCCGTTGGCAGACAGTGGCCCCCTCAGAGCAGCAAAAGCTGAGCAAATTGGATGGGCAGGTGTGGATTGCCCTGTACAACCTACTGCTGAGCTCTGAGGCCCGAGCCCGCTACTGCCTCTCAAGCTTTGCCAAGGGACAGCTACTCAAGGTGGGGAGCTCCTCCCACACTGTCCGCACAGTCCTAACACTGCCCCACCCCATCTCTGCTGTTTATCTTTGCCCACCTACCTCAGCCCCAGTCCTGTTTCCAGACCTTGGGCCTCAGGTAACACAGCAGCTAGTGGGACATGGGGCCTGCAGGAACCCTCAGCCCAGCCTAGGCCCTCTCTGTCCCTTGACCTCCTGGTCAGTACCACTTCACACTGGCCTCTCCTTGATACCCTTTCAGCTTCGGGCCTTCCTCACAGACACACTGCTGGACCAGCTGCCCAACCTGGCAGACCTACAGGGTTTCCTGGCCCAGCTGGCCCTGGCCGAACCCCAGCCCCCTAAGAAGGACCTAGTGTTAGAAGAGGTACGCACTAGGAAGTTATTTGCTCAGGACCACTGCCCACTTTCCCAGCTCCTCCCTGCCACTCTCTACTTCCCTCCCCCAGATCCCAGAAATTTGGGAGCGCCTAGAGCGAGAGAACAGAGGCAAGTGGCAGGCTATTGCCAAGCATCAGCTGCAGCATGTATTCAGCCCCTCAGAGCAGGACCTGCAGCTGCAGGCACGAAGGTGAGGTCTGCTGAGCTGGCAGACAGGAGTGGAAGGGATGCAGAAGTCATGGACGAGGGCAGGGACGCTCCTGTGCTCCCCACCCACGAGGCCCAGCCAGCCCCTCCTGACCCTTTTCCCAGGTGGGCTGAGACCTACAGGCTGGATGTGCTAGAGGCAGCGGCTCCAGAGCGGCCCCACTGTGCCTACTGCGGCGCAGAGGCCTCCAAGCGCTGTTCACGATGCCAGAATGAGTGGTATTGCTGCAGGTGAGGGTCTCCTAGGACCTTGGGTCCCTAAGCTCCCACACCCGCCCACAAGCACTGCATCCTCACAGGCCCACTTGCCTGCAGGGAGTGCCAAGTCAAGCACTGGGTGAAGCATGGAAAAACTTGTGTCCTGGCAACCCAAGGTGACAGAGCAAAGTGAAGGCTGCAGCTCCTGAGAGCGGACCACTCATGCCATACAACCCAGCCAGAGTGTGCCCCTGAACCTCAGCATTTCAGCCTGGCTTCTGCAAGAACCCCAACCTCCCAGGTGGTGAGCTGAGCAGGCAGGGTGGAGCTACTGCCCCATCTTGCCCAGCAAAACGCTCTCCACTTCCTGTCCCACCCAGCGAGTAGGCTTAGGGTGCTGCCTCAGCTGGGGCAGGAGGCCTGGGCGGGGGACAAGGGCGAGGGCCGGATGTGGGGACCCTCTTCCTCTTGCACAGTAAAGCTGGCTTCCAGAAACACGCCTGTCTCCGCGTGGCCCTTTGCGGTCGTCGTTAGGGGGAGGAGAGTTGCTCGCGGGATGAAGGGAGGGAAGGAAGGGAGGGCGGGGACACCGCGAGAGTCCACCGCCGCTCCACTCTGCCTGCGGGCCGACACAGTCTGGGCACCCAGGTTTCTATTGAGCTGCTCTCCTCGGCTCCCTCGCTGCTCTGCCTGGATCTCAGGGGCGGCGCCGCATCGGGGCCCGCCCCACGGTCCTACTGGCCCCGCACTCGTTCGCGCCCAGAGCCGGCCGGATCCTGGGCCGACCGGGCCATGTCCGCTGATCCTGAGCTCATTGAACTGCGGGAACTGGCACCAGTGCGGCGCGCCCGCCCGGGTCGCACTCGGCTGGAGCGTGCCAACGCGCTGCGCATCGCGCCAGGCACAGCGCGCAACCCGGCAAGGCAGCCGGTCCCGGGCCGAGGCCACCGCTTCCAACCTGCGGGGCCCACCACGCACACGTGGTGCGACCTCTGCGGCGACTTCATCTGGGGCGTCGTGCGCAAGGGCCTGCAGTGCGCGCGTGAGTAGCGGCCCCAAGCGCTGGCGAGAGCGAAACGGGTGGTCAAGGGGCAGCACCGTCGCTGCGGTTCAAGTTGCGTGGAGGCGGGGAGGCTCGGCGGGGACGGTCCCTGAGGACCAAGTATCCGTTACCTTTGCCCCATTTTGGAAGAGAGTGTAGGCACATGTTTTATATCCTTACCACGCTCCACCTGTGTCTGGGGCACAGTTGGGTAGAGAGGCAGTTGCCTGTAAATAACAAGGTGCTGATTTCAAGTTTCTTATCTTTGAAATACCTTGGCCCTTCTTGAGAAAGGCTTTGTGCCTACCAGTCTCTGAGTCCATATCCCCAGGCATGCCCTTTTCCAAAGGTTCACTCATCAATGTTCCCTTCCAGAATCCCTGGGGCGAAGGGACTTTTCACACCTATGGGAGGGGGTTTGGGAAAAGTTAAGAACCTTGGGTGGGCCCTCTGCCAGCAGGAATTTTGATGAGTCGTTATATTGCAAATACCTATCACAGACCCAGTCAACTAGGTGCTGAAACATGAGACACAGCCATCCATACACCAGCAGTCCTTCTGCCCTCCTGGGAATCAACAGCAAGCAGAGGTGGCTCTCCCACTGGCTATCTACCAGCTAAAATCATTTGGGATGCTTGCACAGCCCTCCAAATCCCTATGCCTGGCCCCTACCTCAGACCTGTTGAATCAATCACGGCGAGTGTATCAGGGATTTTAAAAAATGTCTTTCTAATGTGCAGCCTGGTTTGAGAATCACTGCTCTGGCCCATTTAAGAACTTAGGGAAGGTGTCCCAGGCCTGTGTGTGCATGAAGACCCTCTCATCCAGTACAGGAGTCTGTCCTGAATTCAGCTGGGAGGAGATACAGGAGATGTGGCAGACTACAAACCATGAACAAGGACTGGGACATTGCAGTGTTCCCCAGGAGAAATAAAGTGGCCATGGAGATGAAAAACAGGACAATTTGGGTGTGTGTGTCAGAGGCAGAAACAGGAGGAATAAAGGATGAGTTGGGTTTGGGGTTTGTTTTGTTTGCCTCAAACTACTGGGAGAATAGTAGCAATTTTTGCTGAAATGAGGAACTCTGGCCAGGGTAGGGTGGGGTGGAAGAAAAGTGAATTAAATTTTGGCCATGTTGAATTGAAATGTCTAGTTGACATCCAAGGGAAGGTACTGACATAAAGGAGTTGATCTGAGAGGGAGGTCACTGATGGAAGCCTTGGATCTGGGGTGAGTGTACAGAACAGTGAAGTGATCAAGACTGAGCCTCTGTGACACCACCTGCCATTAGATCCGGGAATTGAGACAGAACCAAAGGAGCTGAGCACGAGCTGCGGGGAAGTAGGAGGGAAAACCGGGGTCATGGGAGCCCATCGAAATAAGGGGAGCAGCATCAGATTCTGAGGAGGTGAGGACAGAGAAGGGACCACCGGACGAAGGGCTTTGAGCCAGTTGCTGAAGGACCGAGACCAGGGCAGTTTCCTGGAGGGAGGGGCAAAGCCTACTGGAGTGGGTAGAGGAAAGTGAAGGCAAGGAATTAACAGAGCACGTAGACCAGTGTTTGTAAGTTTTCATATGAGGGGAGTAGAGACAGATGACTAGAGGGGGCCGTGGATTAAAACATTTTTTCCCTTCAAGGGCGGAGGGAGGGGGCTGACAATGCGGAAGGGGGACCTTCTGCACTAGGCACTAGAGCAGGCCTGGATTCCCTAACAGCCCGAGGCCTTCCCGCCAGTTTCCGGACCGGAGACCAACACTAGAATCTGTGTGGCCGTGGGCGGTAACGGGGCCTGAAATGGCCGATCATGCAGAGCCCGGGGGTCAACGGCATTCACCCCGGGGCTTCTCTTCCGTCCCCGGGACGCATCTCTGAGCTGGCGCTCCTCCGCCTCACGGCCAGGCCTCTCTGCAGATTGCAAGTTCACCTGCCACTACCGTTGCCGCGCGCTTGTCTGCCTGGACTGCTGCGGGCCTCGGGACCTGGGCTGGGAACCGGCGCTGGAGCGGGACACGAATGTGGTGAGTGCGGGGCCGGGGGGCGTACGGGCGAGGCAGGGACGCGTAGAAAAGCTGGCCATATCGCAATGCCTTGGCCCGCCGGGCGCTACGCGCAATGAGCGTTCTAACAGCAGATTTTCCCGCGGCGGACGGTGGCTAACTCTGCGCGCGGGCTCGAAGGGGTGCCGGGGGTGCTGCCTTCGCGTGGACTGCCACATTCGCCCAGGCTCTGCGCCCGCGCAACTTCCGCACCTTTCCGCATCCGGTCCTGCGGCCACGCTGGTGCACATGCGCACACGCTCCGACTTGGTCCCCAAGGGAGGTGGGGCCTGAGGGTGGAGCTGAGCTCAGCTGCTTGGGCGATGAGATAATTCCCGGAGGCGAGGCGCGTGTGGCCCCGCCCCTCGAAGTTCCTCCCCCAATGAGACCAGAGCTAGACCCGGCTGGCTATGTTTCAGTGTTAACGGTTGCTGTGCGGGCACTGGTACCGGCGCACGCGCACACTTACAAGTGCGCACGCGCACGCGCGCCTGGGGCGGTGGTTGGAGGCTACCGGCGCACCGGGCTCTGGAAGTTGGCTGGCGGGAGGGCGCGGCGATGGGTGAGGCAGACGCGGGGACACCCTCTTTCGAGATGACCTGGAGCAGCACAACAAGCAGTGGCTACTGCAGCCAGGAAGATTCGGACTCGGAGCTCGAGCAGTACTTTACGGCGCGTACCTCGTTGGTGCGCCGGCCTCGCCGGGACCAGGTGCGGGCCGGGGGTTGTGGGCCGCGGGCCAGGGGCGGTCGCTGGGACCCCGCCCCTGCCCGGTAAGTTTCTGTGTGGAGAGTTTGTGGGCAGCCCCGCGCTTCCTTCAGCGTGGATCACGGGCCAGCCCCCAGCGAGTCCGCGGAACCATGTGTCGGGCTCTTTCAGGGCGTCAGTACTGGGTGCCGAGGCCTTGCTCTGTTACAGACCGGTTGAACTAGAAGGCAGCTACGAGGCTTGGGGTAGACCAGGCACAGGCATTATCCACCTATGACTAAAGCAAAGCCGACTGCGCAGTCTGGACTAGCACCTCGATTTCCGCGTTGGGGCGCTCCCACCCGCTCTGAGAGACCAGGAGGAGGAAGTGCAGGGGGAGGAGTCCTTGCCGGGAATTGAGAAGTGTTCTTAGGAGAGAGGCGAAGGAAGATACGCTCCCCTCCATATGCTCTCCTGGTTGGAGCCAGCAGAGTCCCCGCTTCTTGCGGCTCCTGGCCTGTCACCAGCTGCTCGAATATGGAGGATTCTGATTCTCACTCTGGAATGGGTCTGGAGAAGGGGGATTTGGGAATGGATAGGAAGGAGGCCTTGTTTTGGACTGTAAGCATGCAGGAGCACTTTTTCCACTAGAGGTCGGGAAGGTCGGGGGGCCGACCGAGTGGCTCAGTTGGTTAAGAGCTTGCTCAAGAGTGTGAGCTCTGAGCAACAGCGGTTCGAGTCCTGGCCCGAGCTGCCAACAGGTGGCAGGATGGCTCAGCAAAAACAAAACAAAACAAAACAAAAAAACCTCAGCCCAGAGTTTGGGTGCAAGGTTTGTGTGGATCCCTGAGATTGTCTGTGTGCCACTCAAGCCTGAGCCATTTTCCATGTGAAAAGGTGAGAAAAACACAAGACACTAACCAATTGAAAAGGAGGCTGGGGTGTCCCAAGTTGTATATAAAATGAAACCATCAGTTACTGTGGACAGTGGCAGAGTGGAGAGTGAGTTGCCATGGTACAGGAGACAGGAAATTCCATGGTCCTGCTATGCATCCCTCTGGGATAGCTGTTGGAATCCTCTAGTGGGCAGCTTTGGAAACAGAAAAAGAAACTCTTCCACCTCTAGAATCCTGGCAGGACAGTGCAGTGCCCCCAGTTCAAGTTCTTTGTTTTATGAGGAAAGATACCAAGGGAGGTTCACCTGGAGAAGGAAGGGGGCAGGAACTGAGGTCACTGCGCCCCAGTCCAGGACCCCTGGGTTATGCAGGAAGACAAGAGGAAGAAGCAAGTTTTCTCATTCCTAGGTTGGAGCTCAGAACCATCACATGGAAGGGGAATAAGTTAGTGCCGTTCATGTACCCACCCTGTTCGGTAAACAAAATTCTCTTCCTTCTTGTCCTGGCACTAGAGTATTCAGCTTTCCTCCTGCCCCTAGCATTCCTCCCATCCTGGCATTCCTTCTCATTGGGGCACTCCTTCCTGTCCCAAGCCTTCTCCTTCCTTGGGCCTGAGCAAACATTTCCACCCTTTATTCCCAGCCTCCAGCACTCATTTTACCCCCTAGAACCTCCATTGTCCAGAGCCCACACCATTTGAGCTTAGTAGCCTTACGGGGTTTCCCACTGTCCCCAACAAGGTTTCTGCGTTTTCACTTCTCAATGCTCTTCTCCATCCAGGAGACCTTTGGAAACTTGGGAAAGCAAATAGACTTCAGTACCCACCCCTCCCCCAATACCTTTTTCCTGTGGTGCCTCAGCCTTAGTCCTCGGCATTACATACTTCCTGGCTGTGGACTCCATCCTATGCCCTCATCTGTCTTCCCTTTTTGTTCCCCATCAGGTGGTTTAAGCTTAGCAGGCTTAGAGCAGCAGTCAGGGAGAAGCTGGGTTGTCCTGGGCTCAGAGATTAGCACAAGGTTATTCTATAGGAGACCTTCTGGTGGGAACTCCCTTAGGACTTGGGACAAGGCATTGGTCCACAGTGATCTCAGCTGTGTCTGTGACACTCCCATTCCTGCTAGGGCCTATTTGACGTCAACAGGAAGTAAGGGTGATGCAATGGGACCAGGGAGATTGGTAGAAGGAAGTTAATTCAGAGCCCAGGCTGCCCTGGTCCATACTCCACCCTTCTAATCAGAATCCATTTCCTGAAGTAGGGGAGGGGTAGAGTGGTGGAGCCAAAATCTTTGCACTGAACATCCAGACAGCAGGGAGGAAGTGCAGAAGCCTACCTGCTTGGCACTTGTGGAACAGGCTATACCAGAAAGCTGCCTGTGCACCTCAGGCGGATGGGAACCTGGCCGGAAGCTACATTTTATGCAGCTTGGGTCAACGTCAAACGGCATGTCACAGTGGTTTCCTCACTATATCTGAGACACGAAGGGCTGGCCCCAAGTACTCCACCCTGGGGTATTAATGTAGTAGAGGTTGCTCTTCCCCTCCTGCCTGCTGGTGTGTATCAATCCTCACACCTCTCACCCTGCAGTGGGCCGTGGCCCTTTGCCAGGGTAGAGTGGCAAAGTGGGCTGCCTTCTCCAGGACACACCCTGCCCCACCTAACTAAAGTGCTGGCATCAGGCTGTGCAGTTGAGAGGTAGTTTTACTAACTAGTAAACAAGAGTCCTTCCTCAGCATCCCCCATCTTTTCCTAGCCCACAGTCTCGTGCCTTTTGTTGCCTTGGTTTTGAGGTACCCATAGGGCCTCACCTGGAGGAGGCCCCGTCAGAGGGCAGAGAGAAGCCAAATGATTCTGCTTTTGTCTCCTCCATCATAGCATGCAGGTCCAGGAGCAGTGATGGGCTTTTCTCATCAGGCCTCGAGCTTTCTTGTTGGTTTCCAAAGGCTGCCCCAGGTGCCGTTTTCAGAGTGGCCCACCCAGGGCTCACCTCTCTGCCTGTGACATGCATGGCAACGGGATGAGTTCCTCAAGGGCCCTGTGTCCATGCTGCCCTATCTTTCAGGACGAGCCTGTGGAGTGGGAGACACCTGACCTTTCTCAGGCTGAGACTGAGCAGAAGATCAAGGAGTACAACGGCCAGGTCAACAGCAACCTCTTCATGAGCTTGGTGAGTTGACAGCCCACAAAGGGGGAGTGGGAGAGGCAGGAACCCAGCTGTGTACCTGATGTCCAGAGGGTCACAGCTGAGGTATTCTTGGTTGGCCCCTAGCAGTGATTTACTCATGCCCAGCCTATCCCCAAGTAGACTGGCAGTGCAGAAATCTGTTCCCTCTCACCTGGAACCTAGTCATGGTTCGGTTTCTCTTTAGAACAAGGACGGCTCCTACACAGGCTTCATTAAGGTTCAACTGAAGTTGGTGCGCCCTGTCTCAGTGCCCTCCAGCAAGAAGCCACCCACCTTGCAGGATGCCCGGCGGGGCCCAGGGCGGGGCACAGCTGTGAGGCGCCGCACCTCCTTCTACCTGCCCAAGGATGCGGTCAAGCACCTCCATGTGTTGTCACGCACGCGAGCACGAGAGGTCATCGAGGCTTTGCTGCGCAAGTTCTTGGTGGTGGATGACCCCCGCAAGTTTGCACTCTTTGAGCGAGCTGAGCGCCATGGCCAAGGTGGGCTTCCCACCCCACCCCACCACGTGTGAGGGTATATATGCATGCACCTGTTTATGAAGGGGCTGGGCCTGACTCTAATCAAACACTCCCTTTCCCCTGCCTGGCCTTCAGTGTACCTCCGGAAGCTGTCAGATGATGAGCAACCCCTGCGGCTACGGCTCCTTGCAGGCCCCAGTGAGAAGGCCCTAAGCTTTGTCCTGAAGGAGAATGACTCTGGGGAGGTGAATGTGAGTACACAGCCCTCCTTTGTTTCTTGGTTGTCACTGGGCAGGGCTGGTGGGTTGCAGCTACAGTTAAGTCTTGGAGGATAATAGGGCTGGGGGACAAGCCCTGCAAAGCCTCTGCAGGAGTGTGTGAGCCTTATGGCTAAAGTGAAGGCTTCTTTGCCACTGATGTCAAGGTCTAGGGCCTGTCCCAGGAAGCCAGGAAGAAATGTCTTGGTGCTGTGCAATTTTCCTGTTGTGGAAAGTTCTTAGGAGATGCAGGAGTCCATCTGATGGTATGGTGATCCCAGTCTAAATCAAAGCTACACAGGTGGACCCAGGATGTCATGAAGGCTCCCCTTCTGGCATTAGGACTTTTTACCTGGAAGCTTTCTGGCTCAAAGGTATTGGATCTGTGGAGTGGGGTTAGACTCAGAGTATGGGCATGACCTGTCCACGGGTAACGGAACATCTGGTTTGGTGACCTGTCCACGAGGTGACTGCCCTACTTTGTAGGACCCATCTTCCATACAGACTTGGTGGGAATCCTAGCACAGACCATTCAGGCAAGAACCTGACATTAGAAAGCCCCATCCTAGCTGTGTGACCATGATGTGCTCTGGTCTTCTCTGGGGAGGGCCTGCTGGCTTGACTATGCCTGCTGCAGCTTGTGTCGCCCCTCTCCACCTCAGTGGGATGCCTTCAGCATGCCTGAATTACACAACTTCCTACGCATCCTGCAGCGGGAGGAAGAGGAACACCTCCGCCAGATCCTGAAGAAGTACTCCTATTGCCGCCAGAAGATCCAGGAGGCCCTGCACGCCTGCCCCCTAGGGTGACCTCTTGTACCCCTAGGTGGAAGGGAGAGAGTAGGCAGCGCCAAGGGCATGCTGTGTGAGTGTGACAGGGCCATGTGGCCTGAGGAATGAGTGTGCATGGAAGCCCTCTCTTGCTGGGAGAATGAGCCCAGAGAACAGTGAAGGAACTGCTGGCTCCTTGTGTCCACCAGTGGGTGTAGCAGAGCGTGGCTCTGCACCCTTCTGCCCTTCATGTCCTGGGTCATGGTGGGCCAGGGTTGCCCTGGGAAGCTGCTCTAGGCTTTGCAGCAAGGGTAGAGCAGACAGAAGTCTCCTTAATTCGTGTCTCAGATATGAGAATCTTGGAGACCCTACCATCAGGGTCATGTTTTCAGGGATGAGGATCCTCCTCTTTGGGGAAAGATTGTATGTTTGGGGTCTTGGATGGGGTCTCAGGACAGCCTTATCAGAGCCAGGGGTGGGTGTTCAAGATAAGGCAGGCATCGAGGAAGAGTCTAGGTTTCCCTCTACGGTGCCCTCTGGCTCTACACACACCCTGGTCAGAGAATGCTATCTCAAGGTGCAGCAACAGTGCCTCAGTGCCTCCTTCAAGGAGGATGTCCCTGGGCCAGGGTCTGTGTGAGTGTGGGCATTGGCCCAGGTCCGTGCCTTGTTTGCCAGTCAAAACTAAGGTCTTTATTTTGGGTATTTGCAATGATGCGTGTGAATGTATGTAACACATTTGTGGCCTCGGCTGAATGCCTCCTGTAGGGAAAGGGGTGGGGGTGACAGTCATCATCAGGACCTGGGGCCTGAGAAAATTTGGCTGAATAAAGACTTAAGAATCTACTGCTTTTGGACTGTTTATTATGGGCCCTCAGCCCCAGTTGCCCCTTATGCCAGTAGCTGCCAAGGGTGATGAACAGGCTTACAGGTCACCTTCTCAAGGTCACCATGAGACCAGTTTGTGAAGGATGTAGGGTACAGACATGTATCCAGTCATCAAAGCACCCTGGGGCTCAGGTCTTGGTGTGGGCAAGAATATCAGCTGCAGCTAGAGCTTAGGGAAACCACACACATCCCGCAAGCTGTGGGAGGCGCTTCACTAAATATCTGAGCTACTGTGGACCATACACTGCTCAAGGTACAGCTGTGAATTCTTGCCATAATGAAGCATACCTTCTGGTGGGTTTGGGGAGAACACTGAATTTGAACTTCTTCAGCCTTGAATGTAAGCTATGTGAAATTTGGCCAAGTCCTTAATTTTTGTTAGGTTCGGCTTCCTCCCCACACACGACAGTAGTGATTGAAAAAATGATGTGGGAATAGAATGAGGCCCGATGGGCACCGCGCGGCCTGGCCTGGGGTCAGATCCCAGAATGCTAGTTTGGGGGAACCCGGGTGGTTGGGCAGGCCCGCTGCACCTGACCTGTGGGGGACAAGGACGATTGAGCCGCCCCACACGCCTAGGAAGCCACTAGAACTAACTAACTGCTTTCCTAAGCGGGAGCTACCACAGGGGGAGAGAGCGTGGCCTGCCGGGACCTGACGTCTCCCAGTGCGTGCTGGGATGCGTTTCTGAGGTCGGCTATTGGTCCCGCTCTGCGGACCGACGAGAAAAGCAGCCAATCAGAAGGAGCAGCGTGCGGAGCGTACGGAAGCGGAAATGAAGTTTCCGTGGAGACAGCGGAGCCTGCAGAAGACTGTGGCATCGGCATCCGCACCTGCGGTCGGAGGCCCAAGCTGGGCATGGCGGCGCCGACGGTCCTGTAAGAACGAAGCGGCCGCAGGGTCCGCCATGCGCCGGCGCCCCTGACATGGGCGCCAGCGGCTCCAAAGCTCGGGGCCTGTGGCCCTTCGCCTCGGCGGCGGGGGGTGGCGGCCCGGAGGCGGCGGTCTCTGAGCAAGCTTTGGTGCGTCCGCGAGGCCGAGTCGTTCCCCCCTTCGTATTCACGCGCCGCGGGTAAGGGCGTGGGTTCCGCCTCGGGGAGGACAAGCGGGCGGTCAGGCGCCCCACGTGATGGGTAGTTCCTACCGCCGTATCCCCTGTACTCGAGTTAGGATGACTCCCATATTTCGGGCCTTCATTGGAGCCAAGGGATGGGGAAAGCCAGGCAGTCAGTTCCTGGAGGCCTGGCTGCTCTTAAGGTCTCCGTAGGAGAAGAGTGGGCCTGTAGCTTGTCCCTGGGCAGGCAACTTTACGTACGGTAAACCTAAGATAGAGCCTCCTGAGACTTTAGGACCTCTTCTTTTCATCCCTTCAGCCCAGTCTGCAAGTTAACAGCTTCTAGCCTCTCTTAATCTTGAGGGGGAGAATGGTCCTTTGTTTTGGCTGTTTTCCGTCACCCACAGTGGCAAGACTGGACCTCTGAAGGTAGGGGCCAGGAAAGCAGGACTGGGCCCTAGTGTTGGGGATGGGGCCCAGGAAAAAAGACCCTCACCCAGGTATGTTCTCCAGATCTGAAGCAGTGACCTCCCCTCTCTCCCCAGGGGTCCAGACAGGAGCACTAGACTGGCCTAACCCTGGTGGTTCCCTGGGGACTGGCATTTAGGTGATATTAGAGATTTGGCTGTAGATACTAGCGAGACCCAACAGTGCCAGTTTGGCTGCACCAGCCACCAGGGAGTGGGTGGGGAGGATGCAACCTTTTTTCCTTCAGTCTCCCTCCTAGCTCAGGCATCTGCTATCCCAGGCTTTGGCCCTGGGCCAGCAGTGTCTTCTGGAGTGAAACCAACATGCTCAGCCCACCATCCTGCCCACTCTAGAAGTCCTGGGTAAAGGCAAGGGCCTGAAGTTAGAATGGCTGTTCTTGCTGAACAAACCAGTGATGAGAACTGGCCTTGGCTGCCCAAAATCACTTCTCTTCTTGGGGTCTGAGAGGGTAGCACTGGCCAGCACCCCACTCCTCACTTTCTACTAGTAGACCCCAGACCCTAAGCAAGAGATTCTGCATTCATATTATCTTCGCTTCCTCCCATCAAAGTTGTTCCTCCCCATTTGGGGGTGGGCACACTTCCCTGTGGTCTGTAGCATTTGCCATAACCAGGTATGAGGCTCCAGCCCAGCCTGTTCCCCTCTCCTTCTATACAGCTCCATGTTCTATGACGAGGATGGGGATCTGGCTCACGAATTCTATGAGGAGACAATCATCACCAAGAACGGGCAGAAGCGGGCCAAGCTGAGGCGGGTGCATAAGAACCTGATTCCTCAGGTGAGGGGCTGGACAGTGGTCATAAATCCTGTGTTGAATGTGTGGAGATAGACCCAGCTGGGGTCTGCTGTCATGGTGGGGGGTCTTGGGGGAGGAGCTGGGAGGAACAGGAAGGCTTCCTGGAGTAGGGGCACTGAGATGGCCCTCACTAGCCTCTGTTTCCATGGCAGGGCATCGTGAAGCTGGATCACCCCCGCATCCACGTGGATTTCCCTGTGATCCTCTATGAGATGTGAGCCTGGGGGGTGACAGGCATAAGCACCCCCTGTCTCAGCAAGAAACCCCCAGGCTCAAGGTGTGGCTTCCGTTGAACTTAGGTTGAAGCCACACCCTAAATAAACTCCATTGGCCCGGAACCTACAGCTGTAAGCAGGGAAGTCCTGCATTGTTGGTTGGGTGCTGGTTTGTATGCTGACAAGAAGTGGCTGGTGGCTGGCAAGGGCTAATAGCAGAGTTACCAGCCCACCTTCCCCAGCAGTCCCTACAAGGAGCATGGCAGGGCATATGCTGATGGGGAATGCCTGGTTCCTGTGCCCATGCCTGGCCTGCTTTCTACCAAGCTTGCCTTGGGCCCAGCCCTACTAAGAGGCTACAGCACTTTACAAGTAAGGTCTGCCTTCTTCCAGCCCCTCGGCTGTGAGAGCTGTACACAAGTGAGAACTTCCTTTCCCTCACTTCCTTCACCCCTTCGTTGGAGCATTTCAGCCGTTTGCTACCTCGATTCCTCCTCTGTTGGGCAGAGGCTGGGGGCAACGCAAGCCTGATTCTTCCTGCCTACCTGCCCATGTATTCCCACCCCCAGATGGATGGACAGTTTGTTGGCTGTTAATAGGAGTAGAGACTGGTGTGGGAGGCTTCTCCCCCCACCCAGGACTGGGCTGATCCCTCCCTACTGCAACTAGTTGTTGTCCTTTATTGTTACCTCCTCCCCACATCCCCCAGTTGAGTGGGCATAGGATGAGATCAGAAAGGGCTATGGAAGCCTGTGCCTGTGGGGAGTTGCCCCAACCCACCTACTCCGTATAATCCCCCTTGCCTTTGCTCCAGCCCTCTCCCCGATTGGGAGGAGACCATCCGCCACCCGTGGTGAGGGACAGCGCCCTAGGGCTGGTGCCAGTAGCTCTGAGGAGCCCACCACCCCTTCTTTCCCCTATAGTATGCCCATCCCTTCAGGATCAGTCAAGGGAAAGTAGGGACAGAAAGGAGAGAACAACCATAAAAGGAATACTTCAAATGTGAAAGTTTGTAAATAGTCTAGTCCATGATGTTGGGGCAGCATCTGATTTCTACATAGAAATGACTTTTTTTTTTTTTTTAATTCCTTATTGTGCAAGCTATGTGCTTCAAGAGTGGAAAATGCTATGGGGAGGGTGGCCCCAATCTAGAAAGGCTGTTGTGTTATTTGTTCAGTTTCAATAAAATTATTTGTAGACCCTGCATACAAGAGTGTCACCCAGTGTCTAGACCACCACCTGGGCTCAGCAGGTAGGCCTAGGCCCAGGACTCTGGTAGCTCCCCTTGGCCAGCCAGCAAGACCCAGGGTAAGACTGAGCCCAGCCTACGGCAATCCCAGCCATCACCAGCAGGTGGCAGTGTACTCACATACATGTAGACCTCACCACAGGACCCCTCAGGGTGGAGGACCACTCACTCTTCTATTGTGTTCAATAGGTGGGGACCCCTAGAATTAAAAGGCCTTGGATGCTTCACTAGGGATTGGCCCCACCTGCCTAAACTGAGATAAGAGTGTGACCTCAGAGGTCTGGAACAGCTGTCCTCACGCTAGCAGTGCTGCTGTGACCCACATGAGGTCACAGCCTGAGCCCTATAAATCTCCAAAGCCCAGCCTTAGGTGGGTAGCAGCCAGATGGGTGCCACCACACCCTTGGTCTACTGCCAGGTTCTGCAGTCCAAACCCACCTTCTTCCTCCCAGGATTGCCTGTGGACACCGCCAGGAAGAGTGGGCTTGGGGCTTCTGTTCTAGCAGGCAAAGTTCAATCACCCAGTATGTCCTCTGTTGCCTCCCGCCAGTCTTCTCATCTGCCTCCTATGGACATTTGGCCTATACTTCTCAGAGCCTGCTATGAGTCTGGTTCTCTGCTAGGCCCAGCCCTTGGCCATGAGCCCAACTCCCAGTTAGGGAGGAGGGAGTTCAAGGACATGGGCTTCTGGGTCTGGGGAGTTGGCCTGCCAGTGTTTTGGAGGTTTAAACTTGTCTAGTCTGGAGCAGGATCATACTGTGCAACCCGGACTTCACAGTTCTTTGGGCATCATTTTCCCAACAAGATGCCAGGCGTAAAACCCCATCATCCGCTATCTCACCTACTGACTCCCCAGCACCAGGGTTCTGCCATGCCAGATGGCATCCCATCTCCTATCACTACTGTCCAGCGTGGGGGAACTCCCTATGCTGGACCTGCCCCAGCTGACCCCAAAGCGGGAAACAATGGGGGTCCGGACACTGCTTCCCCACTCCCTCCCACTGGGCTGTGCTCACTTCCTTCCTGCTGGCTGCCTGAGGAAGTGTCCCTGCCCTGGGACAGTCTGGCCTGGCCTTTGTTTCCCCAGGGGTCCCCTCCCTTGGAACCAGTGTACCTTGTAGAGCCAGCAGGGTGGTAGAGGGACACCACCCTCCCTGCTATGTCCTGGACTCCTTTGTCCTCGGGGGCAGACTCCAGGGTTATGTGCCCACTTTCCCCAGCCCCCCAATCTTACACAGCCTCTGCTAAGAGAGAGGCTCTGGGCATCAGGGAGGTGGGCCAGTAGTGTAGGAAGGGGGTAGGCTCAGAGTCATTTGAGGATGTGCCGATTTGTCTATACCTCTGGAAGGGTCTGCTGGGACCCTGCTGCAGCCTCCTTGGGGCCAGCCGCATTATGGGCTCCCCCTTTCCATAAGAATATATATTCCTTTCCTCACCCATATTGTAAGGAGCCCCCTACTGTACAGTGTCTCAGTTAAATCCACCCAGGAATGTGCTCCAGCAGGAGCGCACCCTCCAGAACTCTCCAGCCCCTACCCCACTCCCCACCCCACATAGTCCACACATCAACACATTGTCCACTCAGTCACACTTGGGACATTTCCGCTCTATGTGGGAAAAAATTGACTCAGTTCCTGGAATTTCTCCCGATCCACCCCCACCCCCCCCACTGGTTCCCTTCTTCATCACCTGCTTGGGGGGGGGATCAGTCAATATCCCCCAAGTAGTCTGACTCCCCACACCATCACTATCCTGCCCCTCCTCCCACATGCTACTGGATTTGAGGATGGGCCTCAACCCCAAGGGAAAGTTGGGGAGAAGAGCTTTTAATGTTAATTAAGGACGTTGCTGGCCTGCGGGAGGCTGGCACCTGAGCGGGTCCCACTGCCGTTCTGTCAGCTGGCGCGTTTCCCCCTGGCCAGGACCCACTGGGGGAAGGGTGGGGAGGGCAGCCAGCCAGTAGGGCATACCGGAGGGAAACGGGGTCAAAGTGATCCCCTCCCCCGCGCCGCTCCTGCCCCTTTCCTTTCCGAGGGGCAGCAGGAAGTGAGGAGAAAGGACTGGGGTGGGAGGCGGGAGCAAGTGGGAGGGGATGGGGTTTATCAAGTCGCCGGCAGGCTGCCCTGCGGGCAGCAGCTGGCGTGAGTAGCTTGGCTGGAGAAGATAATCCCGGGAAGAAGGAAGGCCTCCGGCCTCTTGGGCCAACGGACTCCCACATAGGTAAGCTCAGCGCAGACGACTGGTCTGCATCCCCCATAGGTGTGCTCACAGCAGCCTTCCTTCCTTCTCTCCGCGCGGGCGGAGAATGGGCCGGCGGTGCAGACCTAGGCCCTTGGCTGAGCTGACCCCCGCATGGGGAGTGGATCTAGGAAGAGGTAAGGGAGATCTCGCTCCATTTCAGCTGCAAGCCCGCTCCCCAGCGGGAGGAACTTGCGGGGTGAAAGGGCTCAGGATACAGTGTGGAGGCCTGGGGTTGCCACTGTGGCCCGCTGGCTTTCTCCGCGGTCCCACCAGGAACTTCTGCAAGAGTGGCAGACTCCTCAGAGTTGAAAGTAAGCTCTAGGGGCTCCCACAGGCCCCCCGCGTCTGGGCAGAAGGGAATGGGAGCCCAGAGATTGGCGTGTCCCTGATGTAGGTCGGGGGTTGGAGGGTGTCCTACCCCAAGGGCCAGCTGGGTTTACCGGCCCCCAGCCGGCGGGCCACGCTGCGACCCTCAGCTCATGTTGCCAAGACAACCACAGCCTCTGCCCAGCCCTAGAAGGGCTAAGGAGGCGGGCGCTCGGCCCCCTTCCCCAGTCAAGCAGGGGGCGGGGCTCCCCTTCAGACCCTGAAGCGGGGAGGGGAGCCCTGATCCGTAGGGATCGGGGGACATTACTGTCGTCTCTGGTCACCGTCTCCCTTTCCACACAAAGGGGCCTCAGGGCGAGGGGCTACACTCGAGTACAGAGCCAGATCGGCTGCTACCCCCAGCCAAGGCCTCGGGGTCCCACAGCACCTCCTTACGGCAGGGCGGGTGATCGCCACCTCCTTTATTCCCTCCACGATCCCTGTCCTTTATGCTGTCCCTTTAAGGGGCTGGCCGCGCCGCGGAGCCGGGAGGACTGTACCACCGGCAGCAGGCTGCAGGGGGGAAGTCTCGGACTGACTGGCTCTCGCGGCTGAGACTCCAGAAAAAAGCCCCGTTCGGAGGGGCCTCACGGTCCCAGATGGGTGGCCGCGTTCTCGGCGGAGGCTCTGGGGGCCCTGGAGCCCGAAAAGCGGCACTAGCGGCTCGAAAGTGGGGCACACCCTTCCCGCCCAGACCGCAAGTCCTGCCCCAGGCCCGCCTCTGCGCTGGATTCTTAAAGGACCCGCGGGCCGGGGGGGGGCGGAGCCAGCAGAGGCGCCTAGCCGGGGCAGTGCCTAGGCGAGCGGCCGGAGTGTGCTGGGCTGGGCCGGGGATGGCGGTGGCTATGGCGCGAGCCCCGGCGGCACCCTGCGCGAGGTGAGGGCGGGAGTTGCAAGCCTGGTGGGTCTCTCCCAGCGGACTGGGTTCCAGAACCCCCTGGGAGGGAGCCCAGGGACCCCAGCCCCTCCGGGCCGGGCTCAGGCCCCACGTGCGGAGCGGGGGCGGGGTCCCGCACAAAGGCCAGGCTGAGTGAGTGAGCGCTAGCCCTACCCGCCTGGCGACGGGCGCGCGCATTCCCGGTCGCTGTGGAGGGAAGGGCCGGTCTGCCGGCGCCTCCATGGGAGGTCCGCTGCCCCTTTGTCCCCGCGTGGCCTCTACCAAGCTTGGGAGAGTGCGCTTGAGACAAAGTCTTGACAGCCTCACTCTTCTGCCGGGCGGGTGCTACACAGATACGATACCAGCTCCACGGCTATGTTCCAGCTTGCTAGCCGCTGCATGAGCTGTGCGCTGCCTTACCCAAATGCTATCGTTTCTCTGGACCAAGATTTCTTCACCCGGTACAGAGTGGGCCTCGGATTCGGGACTCTCTGAAACCATATGCTGGATGGAATGCAGGCATGTCTGTGTGTCTCTGGGTAGCTTATCCATAGCTCAATTCGTCCAATTCTCAGAGGGGGCCACAGACCTAACAGAGGCCTCTTCCCAGCCATAGGCCACCTGCTCCAGGAAGGAGCTCTATGCTCCTGCCAGTGAGTTCCCAGGGTGTCTTGCCTGCCCCTTGGTGGCCTGTGGTCTCTCAGACCTGTTACAGCCACGAAACAGGCCTGAGCAGCCCTGGGCACAGCGCCCACACAGCATGGACTTTGGGAATATGGGTTTGGGGTGAGCACCTCCAGGATTCTCTAAACTGACTTGCTCTCTCCCACCCTTTCCTCAGTTCCTGAGCTGGTGTCAGGCAGGTGACACTGTCTGCCTGCAGCCCCCAGCATGTGGGCAGGCCTGAGCCCTGCCACCACACTGGCCCTGGTGTTGGCGGTGGCATGGGCCACGGAGCTTAAGCCCACAGCACCACCCATCTTCACAGGCCGGCCCTTTGTGGTAGCATGGGACGTGCCCACACAAGACTGCGGCCCACGCCTCAAGGTGCCACTGGACCCAGAAGAGAAAGCCTTTGACGTGCAGGCCTCACCTAATGAGGGTTTCGTGAACCAGAACATCACCATCTTCTACCGCAACCGGCTAGGCCTGTATCCACACTTTGATTCAGCAGGGAGGCCTGTACATGGTGGCGTGCCACAGAATGGCAGCCTCTGGGCACACCTGAAGATGCTGCAGGAACACGTGGAGCACTACATTCGTAGACAGGAGCCTGCAGGGCTGGCAGTCATCGACTGGGAGGACTGGAGGCCTGTGTGGGTGCGCAACTGGCAGGACAAGGATGTGTACCGCCGGTCATCACGCCAGTTGGTGGCCAGCCGCCACCCCGACTGGCCAACAGACCGCGTAGTCAAGCAGGCGCAGTACGAGTTTGAGTTCGCTGCGCGGCAGTTCATGCTGGAGACACTGCGCTTTGTGAAGGCAGTTCGGCCTAGGCACCTCTGGGGCTTCTACCTCTTCCCCGACTGTTATAACCATGACTATGTGCAGAACTGGGAGACCTATACAGGCCGCTGCCCTGACGTGGAGGTCTCCCGAAACGACCAGCTGGCCTGGCTGTGGGCCGAGAGCACGGCCCTCTTCCCGTCTGTCTACCTGGATGAGACACTTGCTTCCACTGCCCATGGCCGCAACTTTGTCAGCTTCCGTGTTCAGGAGGCCCTGCGCGTGGCTCGCACCCACCACGCTAACCATGCACTCCCAGTCTACGTCTTCACACGGCCCACCTATAGCCGCAGGCTCACGGGCCTTAGTGAGGTATGTACCTCGCAGGGCCCTGCCTTCTTTCTCGGGAACTACTGCAGGTTTGAGTTACCAGGGGGCCTCCTGTACCATAATTGACTCGCTGCTCTACATCCTCTCACCTCAGTCTTTCTATAACCTTGTGAAAGGGTGGCATCATTATTTCCATTTTGCAGATAAAAAACTTGAGGCCCAGGGATGCCGAGAAATGTGCCCAAAGCTTCCTAGCAAGTCCAGGGCAGAGCAGGGACCTGGGCCTTGGCATTCTGACTTTGGAGTCCATCCTGACAGATACATCCTAGGCTCAAGTGGGCTCTTGGCTTGGGTAATGGAGGCCCAACATGGGGGTGGCTTAAACGTTTAAGAAGAAAGTAAAACAGCCTCTGCCTGGAGGGTGAGAAAGGGAGGACTGGGCCGGCGAGTCAGCAAGGCAGAACAGGTTGGAGCCTGCCCACCCTGTCTGTCCTCCTCCCTGTGGGCTCAGTCCTCCCCAGTGACCAACCCCTTCCCACACAGATGGATCTCATCTCCACCATTGGCGAAAGTGCTGCCCTGGGTGCAGCCGGTGTCATCCTCTGGGGCGACGCAGGGTTCACCACCAGCACGGTAAGTAAGACCCACCCAGCCCACCGGGTCTGCAGAGTCTGCAGGGACAGGCAGAGAGTTGGGGCTTTTGGCTGCCAGACTCAAGGTGGACAAACCTAGTCTGGCTCCCTTGCCTGTCTCCCACCCAAGGCATCCCAGGTCCCAACAGAGAAAACAGGGTCCTTCCCCTGCTCCCAGGAAAGGGGACGTGGTGTCCTGAACAGCTGTTGGGTTCTGTCGTTCCCTGCCCGCCCTGCTAGGCTCCAGTCTCTGCCCCCACCCCCTTCTCAGCAGGAGCAAGGACAGTGAGAGCTCAGGCACACGTGCATATACACATGTGTACACCAGTAAAAGAAGGTACTGTCACCACAGGGGGGACAGTTTCCATCTGGGTCTGTGGCCTGAGGCAGCTGACCCTGATCTCTGACCTCTGCCCCCAGGAGACCTGCCAGTACCTCAAGGATTACCTGATGCAGCTGCTGATCCCCTACGTAGTCAACGTGTCCTGGGCTGCCCACTATTGCAGCTGGGCCCAGTGCCATGGCCATGGGCGCTGCGTGCGCCGTGACCCCAGCGCCAATACCTTCCTGCACCTCAGTGCCAGCAGCTTCCGCCTAGTGCCTAGCCATGTACCTGGTGAGCCCCAGCTGCGACCAGAGGGGGAGCTCAGCTGGGCCGACCATGACCACCTGCAGAAGCACTTTCGCTGCCAGTGCTACTTAGGCTGGGGTGGCGAGCAATGCCAGTGGGACCGTAGGCGGGCATCTGGGGGTGCCAGTGGGGCCTGGGCTGGGTCCCAGCTCACCAGCCTGCTGGCTATGGCAGCCCTAGCCCTCACCTGGACTTTGTAGGGATCTCTCACCTGGCTGCCAGGCAAGCTGGCCTCTGCCACAAGGGCTCTGCCAGGCATGTAGGAGCCTGCAAGGGGTGGACAAACTAGAGTGTGAATGGGGCAGAGCCCCTGGGATGCCCAGTAGGGTGTCCATACCAGTTCTCACCCCCCTGTTCTAAGGGGGAGGAGCTGTCCCCTGCGAGGCACCTTCTCTCCCTGCCAGAGAGGAAGAGGCTGGGGAGGACCTGACCCTACTCCCCTGCCCCTGGATAGTCTATTATTATTATTTTGGGGTCTCTCTTGTAAATTAAATATAAAACAACTCCTTTTGTGCTTGGGCTGTCTGCACCTGGGCCAGGGCATGTGAGAGAGTTTCCAGAGTCTTCCATGAGGTTTGAACCCAGCTCTGTCCCTGTGAGACTCTGCTGGGGACTTCTCATCTGTAAATGTGTTCACTGGGACCTGAGGGCCCAGAGCTGCCCACTCAGCGGCTGTCCTGCTGGGGCAGGGGCCACTGGGAGTGGAGGGATTCACATGCCACCCCAGTGCCAAGGGCCTTGCCTGCTCCGTATTGATTGGAATGCAGTTGAGCCCAACTTTCTATGAGGAACAGGACTCACTGTGCTTCTACTGGCCCATGTATCCTCAGTTGGGCCAGTGCCAGCCACCTCGCCTTGACCACCCAGGGAGAAAGGGGGAAGTGGATGTTTGATCTTCCCTGGCTGGGCAAGTAGCCAGACCACCCCTCCCTGCTGTTCCCACAGGCAAGGGTGTCTTCTCCACTCCCCACTCCCAGGGACAGTGGACTCCAGCCACACACACCTCACCCCCTCTGGGTCACAGTCCCTACTGGGTTTGGTTGAAGGAGGCCAGCAGGGGGTTGGGGTCTGAATTCTGAGGTCCAGCCCCTATCCCACTGCATGATGGGGCAAGCAGGAGGCATCTGGGAGCAGAGCCATCTTCACTGTCAGCCCTGTCCTGCCCATGAGAGAATATGGCTCTTCCCGGCTGTCCCAGAGGAGAGAAGTAGCAGCCAGAGCAGTCAGACCAGCTCTGCCCTGCTTCTGAAGGGAGTTACCTGGGTGGGTCTCTGCCCTACCACTCAGCCATCACACCCACACCTGGGTGACCCTGTGCAGTCACGACTCATCCCTCAGGTCACACTGGCTCTGGGGAGACAGGCTCAAGAAACAGCAAGGGGTGAGGAGAGCAGCCCAGCCACAAGGACGCAGGGGAGGTATCCTGGAGAAAGCGCTTTCTATGTTGAGTTTTGAGAAGCTTGATGCTAGTAACAAAGCAGAGGCAAAGGCTGGAGGAAGCAGAGATTAGCTGGAACTCAGCAGGAGTCTGGGGTGTGGCTGAGGGCTGCTGCCCACAGAAAGAAACAGAAAGGGCAGCCCTGGAGCAGCCCCTGGCTGAATAGCCTGAGGGTGGTGATTATCTCGCCTGTTCAGTAAACACACAGAGCACACACCTGCCAGCGCTGGGCTAGCTGGGGAAACGTCTGTAAACCACACCAACAAAGACCCCTGTCCCTGTGGGTGACAGTGTAGAAGGAGGTGCACACTGGATGTGAAGAGTGAATCAGGTGCTGGACACTGGAGGGTGTTCCCCAGAGAAGCATGCAGGTGAGGGGATGGTGTGGTTAGGGGAGCAGAGCCTGCAGAAGCAAGTCCCACCAAATCCACTCAGGTTATAAAGCGATCCCTCATCTGGCTGGTGATGGCTCGGAATGAAGAGAAGAGCCTGGGTGGTAACAATGGGAGGTCGATGTTAATTCATGTGATGGAGGAAGGTACCAAGGTGGAAAGTTTCCCAAGCGCTCCTGGCCATGGTGGGGAGATCTGCTGGAGAGATTCAGGTGGTGGCCAGTAAGGCCATGAGATGATGGGACCAGCAGAGAGAAGGCAGCTGTGACCCCCCACACACACCTGTGCCCTCCCCTACACAGATGTGTCCCATGCACACCTGTGAGCTTCCCCACCCACATCTGGAACCTCCCCCAACACAGGTAATCGAGGCACACCTGTGACCTCACCCACACAGCTGGCACCTTTCTCACCCAGCTGTGACCCCGACATACCCATAGCCTGCTCTGTGCAAAGCTGTGATCCTCCACATGTGTGACCCCTCCTTACAAACCTGTGACCACCTCATAACTTCCCCAGGACGAGCTGGAAGACAGCCTTGGAGAAAGCTGTCCTATGGGTGGCTGCGTGGGGGCAATGGGGAGTGAGGTGGCTCAGGGGCCTGAGGTCTGTCTGCAAACCAGAAAGAGCAGGCAGGGCTGGACCATGAAGCTGGACAAACCTGTCAACACAGCCTAAGAAGTACATTTTGAGAAGAATCAGTTCTATATTCTCAGCCTCTGGATTGGTCTGAGATAGTTATCGGATGTGTGGCCTACAGGTTGGACACTGGGAGGTTTGGTCACATCCAGTAGTCTGGATAATGGATGTCAGGTGGTCTGGATATGTGAGTCAGGGTAATCAGAGGGTTAACTGAAGGTCTGAGGTATTTCCAGGTGTTGGCGCAAGATTGGATAGTCAAAAAGCTTAAGTTCCCGGCTAGTTAAAATGAGAACAGAATCTTTTTCTGGTGCTTCAATCTACTTGATTTTAGTAACTTAGCAGCTTGACTATAGTGACTCCGTTTTATTTCTTCACTCTATTCCTCAGACCCCAGACACTCACCACTTTGACCAATCTGACCAGACCAACCCGGCGAAAGGCCTGTGGGTGGGGGAGGGCTTCAGGCACCCAAGCTGCTTCCTGCTGTTTCACCATTAGAGCTTCTTCTCCCTTGGACTAAGGCCAGCTAGAGAACGTTGGCTTGTTGGTTGACTGGATTGTGCCAATTGCAGCACTAGGTTTCTGGGGGCACTAGGAGGTAGCATGGTGCCTCAGGAAGAAGGGGTCAGGCCCTTCCTTGATGTTTTGTTTTTTTACCCTGTTCGCGTTGTACCAGGCTCTCTGGCCCTAATGGTCATCACTCTGGGACCCTGCTTCCTGAACAGGCTCAGCAGCCACCACCTCTGGCTAGATCCTATGCTCAGGTCATCATAGCTGATGTGCCCACAGCACCCTGGGCCCTGCCAGCTTCTCCATCCTAGCCAGCCTAGAGGACCAAGCCCTGGTGGCAACCAGCTGTGCCACGGCTCTGGTGACCACCATGCTAGAGGATCGGTCACTGGCTCAGGCCCAGACTTGCTGTAGACCTAGGCCGCACTTTCACCTGGGCCAGGGACATATTTCCTTCCCACCCTGGCAGGCAAGTCTGGGCCTGGGCATCTAACAGGTCTGAATCACTAGTTTCTGAATCAGCACATGAGTGAAACCACCAAGGAATGAATAAGCGTGTGGTCACTGATACACTGTCCTCAGACTTGTGGTCTCACAGTCACAAGACAACAGGGTCTCACACACACCCAGTCCCAGGCACTGGGTCCCACACTCACCCATAATCTGCTAGAGTTTGTGCAGCGTCCCAGATGGTCACTAACAGGCTTCTCAGAGACACAATCACCCAGCAAAGAGTGCAAAGGGCGACAACACAGGCCTGACTTCATGAACACAGTGCCTTTCACACACAGGTCCCTAAAGCAGGGATGACTTATGCACTGGGCACAGGGCCTAGGGCCACAATACTTCTGGGGGCCCACCAACATGTTTTAATTTTGTAACTTTTTTAATAGAAGGAAGAGTATATAAATAATATATAACAAAGTCAGTCTGAATTCTATTTGTCTTTATACCAACATAGTTGTAAACTATTTTTTTTGAGGAAGGGGTCCACAAAGGCAAAAGGGTCCGGGGCCCCCAAATGTTATAATGCAGCTGTGCGGGGTTAAGTACATTCCCTGGGTATCAGTCCCAGGGCACCCAAGACTCCAGAACCACAAACAGGCCTGCCCAGCTGGGCCCGCCAACCAGACAATCCCCCTGCACTGCCTCCGCCCCCACCCCAGCCCAAATAAAGCCACAAAGCCCTGCCCTAGTGCTGACTGGGTGGGCGGGGCCACTTCCGGCCCAGACCCCACCCCCTACCAAGGGCGCTTTGCTAGAAGTGCCGAGGTGGCTCTGCTGCCTGGCCGAGGCCCGCCCCCAGACTGGGTGGGGTTACCCCCTACAAAATCTCAGAGTTTCCCGCAGCCGCTTCCTCCGAATCTGATGCAGCTGGGGTGAGGTTGAGGAACAAAGAATCTTGCTGAGCCCTGCCTAGGCCCTCACCCTGGAGTCAGGAAGTTTGGAGGATGAGGCCCTTCAGCTCTGAGGTCAGCAGGGACAAGTGGTCAGACTGGCGGGTGTACCGGCGGGCTGGGCTGACATGTCTTTGCTCACTGAGCATCCCCTCCTCCAATGGCTGGCTGGGATTCCTGGGGGAAGAGACAAGGCCCCCCTCATCAGTCATGTCGGCCTGGAGGGCCAACGGCCTGGCTCTCTGTCACTCTTCTCAGAATTGATGTCAAGGCTTCTGTGGCCGTTGGAGAAGTGGGGTGGGCAAGCCTGGGCCACGGCAAGGCCTGTGGGAGACCAGGCAAAGGCACAGCCCTAGAGGCAACTCCATCTGCCCTCCAGTAGCTATGTTCTCCTCCATGCCCTTCCTTTGCCCTCTGACCTCCCTGAGCCCTGCAGGTGGGTGTTTACCTAAAGCCAGAGCAGGGGTGGATTAATGAGCAAGGGGCTTGCCCTAAGCAGGGGTCAGAGAGTTCAAGGCCTACTCTCAGCTCTGCCTCCCCTGGCCAGGTTTCCCTAGACTTGCCCCGTGCCATGGCAGCCCACCTGCTTCCCATCTGCGCCCTCTTCCTCACCTTGTTCGGCATGGCCCAAGCCTCTGGGGGCCCCGTGGTACCCAACCAGCCCTTCACTACCATCTGGAATGCGAACACCCAGTGGTGCCTGGAGAGGCACGGCGTGGACGTGGATGTCAGTGTCTTTGATGTGGTGGCCAACCCAGGGCAGACCTTCCTCGGCCCTGACATGACCATTTTCTACAGCTACCAGCTGGGCACTTACCCCTACTACACATCTGCTGGGGAGCCCGTGTTTGGCGGCCTGCCCCAGAATGCCAGCCTGGATGCCCACCTGGCTCACACATTTCAGGACATCTTGGCTGCCATGCCTGCATCCAACTTCTCAGGGCTGGCAGTCATCGACTGGGAGGCATGGCGCCCACGCTGGGCCTTCAACTGGGACACTAAGGACATTTATCGGCAGCGCTCACGGGAACTAGTACAGAGGCAGCACCCTGATTGGCCAGCTCCTTGGGTGGAAGCAGCAGCCCAAGACCAGTTCCAAAAGGCTGCACAGGCCTGGATGGTAGGCACCCTCAAGCTGGGCCGGGCACTGCGACCTCATGGCCTCTGGGGCTTCTATGGCTTCCCTGACTGCTATAATTATGACTTTCTAAGCCCCAACTACACAGGCGAGTGCCCACCAGGCATCCGTGCCCAGAACGACCAGCTAGGGTGGCTGTGGGGCCAGAGCCATGCTCTCTACCCCAGCATCTACATGCCCGCAGCGCTGGAAGGCACGGGGAAGACACAGATGTATGTACGGCACCGCGTGGGTGAGGCATTCCGTGTGGCTGTGGGTGCTGAGGACCCCAATCTGCCAGTGCTGCCCTACGTCCAGATCTTCTACGACATGACAAATCGCTTTCTGCCCCGGGTGAGTCTCCTTCTGTGACCCTGCCCACCTCGTATCTTCCCTTGTCAAGCATTAGGTCCAGCAACTGAGGCCACACAGCCTTGGGACACTTTCATCCATTCATCCTCATGTTCTTTGAACTCCTATTGTGTGCCAAGCTCTGTGCTAGGTACAGATGTTTCAGCATTCATCAGAAGAATGTAGTCCCCGCCTGTATGGCCCTCCCAGGCTGGAGTGGGCACAGGTCAGGTTGGCCTCTGGCCACCAGGACCAGAGCAGGCCCAGCTGGAGGTTATGAGTTATTTTTCTCATCCAGTGGTGTTACAGCAATCTTCTGTGCAGAGGGAGGGAGGCCCCACAGAACTATGCTTCCCTTTCCCCAGGATGAACTGGAACACAGCCTGGGGGAGAGTGCAGCCCAGGGGGCAGCAGGAGTGGTGCTTTGGGTGAGCTGGGAGAACACAAAAAACAAGGTGAGTTCAGGCCCTAGGTGGGGGCGGGTATGGGGGCAGGGTGGGGGTGGGCTGCCAGGCTGACTGGGGAGATCCTGGCCAACCCTTTATACCCCTGCAGTCCTGGCTGGCCAGCAGGGGAGGGCCTCAGTGATGCCCTAGGTGGGCCCATGCATGGCTGTGGTGTCCCTGACACTCTCCCTCCTACCCAGGAATCATGCCAGGCCATCAAGGAGTATGTGGACACCATGCTGGGGCCCTTCATCCTGAACGTGACCAGTGGGGCTCGTCTGTGCAGTCAAGCCCTGTGCTCGGGCCATGGCCGCTGTGTCCGGCGCCCCAGCCACCCTGGGGCCCTCCTCATCCTCAACCCCACCAGTTTCTCCATCGAGCCCACACCTGGTGGTGGTCCCCTTACCCTACGAGGTGCCCTCTCACTTGAGGATCAGGCACAGATGGCTGTGGAGTTCAAATGTCGCTGCTACCCTGGATGGAGGGGGACATGGTGTGAGCAGCAGGGTATGTGGTGATTGGCCACACACCAGGATGCACACATTGAGCACCACCTAATGCACTCTGGGCCTGGCCAAGGCTTTCTCAAGTGTAGGCACAGTCACAGAAGTCATGGTCACAGTCAGGAGTACACTAAACCACCATCATGAGCATATGCCTACACATGCACACATGCTTCCAGGCTGGGATAGTTGCATTACGGACCGGGGTAGTTGCCTAAGGAATTAAGAGTCTCTGGCACCCACCCAGCAGGGTCATAAACATTTCCTCCAGAGACACTGAGCCAGTCTAAACTGCAGCAGTCAGAAGAACTAACATTCACTGAGCACCTACTCTTCGCCAAGTCCTGTGCTAAGCATTTCAAGTAGGCTAACTCAGTCCTAACACGACACTATAGGGAAACTGAGGCACACAGAGGGAGGGAAAGCACCTTGCCCAAGGTTGCACGGCCAAAAAATGGAGACGCTGAGATTCGAACCTAGGCTGTCTGGCTATAGAGGCAGAGGCCTTTGATTCCTACTGTGTTGATGGTAACCAGCCTTGCTCGCAACCTGAATCCACTCGGAGGCACCAGCCCCGCAAATAAAGCAGACACGATTCTTAGTTCAAGAGCTGTTTATTGAGTGCCTAAAACGTGCAGGCCCCAGGGTCCTGAGGGAACAGGAAAGGCTCATCACTTTCAGATCTGACGTTAGTCCAAGGGCGGCTGCTTCTCGGTGGGGCCCAGATTTCAGGAAGACGCTCCACCTGGCCGTTTCCACACAGGACGGGGG